GTTATCTAAAAATTGACCCAGGTTACTTTGAATATGGATCAAGGTCATTCCTTTGCTTAACTTCATCCTAGCAACCTATAAACCAAATATCTTGTTTCTAGAGATTTTTGGTAGATGAGAAGCAGTCTTTTAAATTTATATAAAGAATTGATAGATTTTCCCTATTTGGTGCCGCCCCTTTAGCCCCAGGGAGTCAAGACCCACCATTTATACGATACTGATTTCCCTTTACTCAAGGATGTTTCAGACTAAATTTGATTACAACCTGCTCAGTTGTTCATGAATAGTTGCACTATATAGTAAAAATTGACTGTGACGGACACCGGACGCTAGACGGCGCGATATCCCTATAACTCACTAGGGCCAGGTAAGCTAAAGACGTGTCCATTTGTGTAGAACTTGAGAAGTGACACTGGTGTCCGATTCCTAATGTTATATTACGAAGTACATATTTATGTTTCATGTCCAGTAGTGTTGGACTTGAGAACTGACACTAGTGTCCAATTCCGTTACAGGAAGATTTCCTTGGTGCTAACTTTGATGTGGATATAAGCAGGACAGAGGAAGACCACAGCCACACATGGTGACATGGCGAAGCAATTAGGTTTAGAACTGTTCGTTCATTCATCAATACATTGCAACATCCTACATTCGATATTGTAGATAAAGGTATATATATATATTAATAACATTAACTGTCTAACTTTGTTTAGGGAAAAGTTGAAAAGTAAACTATTGTAATGAAATTAATCATATATCCATTATCAAATCAAGTTAGAATTCGCATTTGCATATTCACCCCGGATATCGTATTATTAAAAGGGAGGTCTTCCTTTGGGGGTTTTAATTACGGTAAATTAGATTCCCTTAATATCAACATGCTATTAGCTATGGGTTATTAGTGCTAAGACTAGCAGCAAGAATTTTGAATTTATATGTCGATGTTTTGGATAGAATATCTATACATTTTAACATTAATTCATAATCCCTACTGTTTCAAATCCAATTGGCAGCAGAACACAATTATTAAAAGAAGGAGAAAAAAAATCATAAACAGATATGATATAAAATCACCTGTCTTTTGATAAAGATGCGCTGCAAAGGCAGAGTATGCAGAGAGAGTGGTAGCTGGTATAAAGCCGTGGTTCTATTACGTTATCTATAGCGGGCTGTCTGACAAGAGACCACATGAAGAGAGAAAACAGCTGACTGATCTCTACTTCGACAGGATGCGGGCATTTGCACATGACAACCATGCTTGCGGAACAGAAATACCATTGGTGGAAACATTGGTCAGGAAAAGGCTTTAACAAATAAATCAGGGAAATTTGTATAAGATGCCCAAGCCAATAGTATTACTAAAATCCTCATAACTACCACGGAAATCACTCCTTCACGTTTCGTACTTCCTCAACGCTTAGGACCATGTTTAAATATAGTTCCTTTCCTTAAACCATTCCTATTTGGAATTCCTTCCCAGCATCTCTTGCTGAGGCCCCTAGCTTGGTATGTTTTAACCCCTTAACTCCAAGGAATTTTTAATGAAACTGAAGAAAATTTGTCATTTTGCTTCAGCATGAATTCTCACCCTTTTCCAGCCAACTTTTTGGTAAACGACCCTATAAATTTAGAATAAAAGTTTTTTTGAAAATCTTTCGACAAAATCATGTTACCATAACAACCAGAAATTTGAATACTTGATTAATAAATAAATAAATAATTCATGATAAAAGTTAATATAAAAAAATATTTCCAAACTTTATAGCATTGTGAACTACTGGAGTAGAAATCTAAGGATATATATAAGGCAGCAATGTACTCACTCACGGTTGTTGCCATGGTTACCAGCTAATTTTTCAAATATTACATGTAAAAAATAGCAAATTTTATTTGTCTGCCCAATTTTTATTTCATAAGATAAGGTTTGCATAACAAAATTAGAAGCTTAGTCAACCACCAGAATATATAATAATCTGAAAAAGCTTCTTTGTTAAAATTTCAGAGCAAATTACAATTATTTCTTTTAGCAATCATTATTTTTAAACGTTAATTTCTGCTTATAAACAATTTAACTCATGAAGCATTGAATGAAAAGTTATTTATACACATTTTGAAAGTTCTGATCTGTTGAAGAAGTGTTCTGAATGCAATTACAAACATTATTGGATATTTATTTTCAGATGTCAGGGTAGATAACTCAGTTTGAAAAAATAATTTTCAAAAGTTTTGATTTAATTTGTTTCTTCCAGTTAATTGTTTCTCTTGTAATGATGATTGCTGCACTTGTATTTTTCAAATAATGATAAAGACAGTGATCATATTGTTCATCAGATAGACATAAACTACATGTAGTAGAAATATAAAATTCATTTTTTCAACATGTTTATTCTGTATGTGTTTTAGTTTTCATGATTACCAATAAGTTCAAACTTGATTGGTTATTTGAATGTTTAGACATTTCCACTTGTAGAAATTCATTTTCTATGTAAATACAAAATAAGGTATATAGGATGATGAAAGACATTGGTAAAAAGATTAACATATTACTTAAAATTAGACACAGCAATACTCAAAATGTGCTTATTGTAGGAAGTATCTTATCAAAATGGAAACATATATCTGTACATTCCTATCAAACATTTTGTCTTTCAGAGTAATAATGCTATTGCTAAAACCATGACCGTGTTTCCAAAACTAGTTACTTGTACCAGATTGAAGCATTTTAATTGTAATACTTACAACACATTATTTAGATGAAATCATTTTAATTTTGCATAATCCTCCATACAAATAAATGGTGAGGGGAAAGATAAGTGGAAACTTTGCTGGCCCTGATGGCACTTGTTTAACTAGGATGTTCCTGTATCATCACACTTTGTCCATAATACAGCAGTCCTGTGTTTATATCTGAAGTTAGCAATTAGAAAAAAGAAGTTAATTAAAGCATCTTTTGTGTATACTTATGAGCATTTCAATGAAAACTTCCTCATTAAATAGTTAAAGGTTTGAATAAAATAGCAGTGCAATGTTCATGTCACCAGCTGTATCACATCAGTAATACATGTACTAACAAATCTACTGACAGAATCTATTTAGGAAATCATCAAATGTGTTATTAGTCAGTTTCTATATGGATAGCAATTCAGACAATTCAAATTCTAAATGTATACATTATACAAAACAAAAGTTTGCAGAAGTTCGAGTAAGTAAGGGTTGAGAATATCACTATTGTAATACTACATTAATCAAACTACTTTCCTAATTATAGAGGTTTCCAGATTATAGGGGTTTGTGGATCTCTACATTCAAAATATAATGTTTAAAGCCCACAGACTCAAACCTCAAACAGTGAAAAAAAAACCAATATAATTACTTTTTGATAAACATGTTACCTCAAAGATATTTTTCTTTATTGTTATTTATCTTATTCTTCAAAATTGTTGCAAAATCTTTTCAGGATGTGTACTGTACAATGAGATATTTGTGGCCTGGTGAATGACTTTCAATCATCAGAGGCTGCGGTTTAAAATCACAGCTTAATTACTCATATGGCTCCTCATAATCTTATACAACTTGACCAGAATCAATTATTTTTCATCTACTGCCTCTTAGCTATTTCAGCTATCATTTTCTAAATAAATTGGCAACTAAAACAAAACAAGATGTAGATTAGTTTTGCCAGAATTTATGAAAAATGATACAGGGACCAAACATAAAGGATGGTATCAGCAGGGATCTGAATGAGACAGAAGCTACTTTTTTCGGATTATATTGTACAACTCTAATCACCATGTATTTATATGTCCCCACTGCCATTATTATGTAAAGATATCATGATATCATCCCTCTTTCTGATGAAGGCCGGTAGGAACTGGTCCTTATAATTTTGTCCTTTCCATACAATGTGTATTTTGTGAATTCATCATATGCTTATCTAAATTTGAAACAATATCTCTTACAGTAGTTAATAAATTCAAAAAATGAGAAAATGAAGTTAATTTAGAAGAAATAATTACAGAACATGTTTATTGCTGAAAAGTATACAGTATCCTCAGACAACTGATATGTAATAAGTCATAATCAGGTAGAAAACTGCTGCAGATCTGAGAATGGAAAAATATAGAAGTAAAAATTACAGGTATTTCATCAGGGATGTGTCACATACAGATTCCCATCCATATAATACATGTCAAACATGTACTGTTAGGGATCTATGACACGTTTTTGGATTCAAACGACAGATTTTTCTCTGTGATTTATATATTCCATTCATTAGTTCAGTATATTCAAATATTTACCTTTATATGCCTTATTCTTCTAAAAATCAATGTACATGAAGACCTATATCATCATAGATTGCGTAAAATGAATACATTTTTGTTTTCGTATAATACTTACCTATGAAATGATATGGTGACAAGATTAACGCCTTGTTAATTAATTTCTTTGCAATGGACAGGTTTACCTCATCACTCCCATCGTTTGCAAATTGTGACAGGTCAGAGTATTGACCTATAGTTCATGTTCAGACACAACACAGGTGAATTCTATCGCCTTGATAGTGACATGTCATTATTTTGCGGCATTATCTCATGTAATAACTTGTGATATGCACACAGTTGGCAACAAATCTAACTGAAGTGACGAATTATCTCGCCAAAATAAGTCAGGTTCCTAAAACATTTGCTCACTCCTCTATATCGAAAGTGATACATTTCTGGTAAAACAACTGTTTACATAGTGTATTATAAGAACAACTGAAAGTTGCACCTATATGATCATAATCACAAACATATTTGCTTTGACACACAATGTCAACTTACTGTGGTGTTTTTTAAAAACTTGTGAATTCTTTATTTTGGTATTTTCTGAATGGATAAAGATGGATTTTGACTAATTTTCAGATTGTCTTCAAATGACAATAGAATTCAGTTGGTATTTTTCATGCAATATCATTCGAATGGGCTGAAGGTGTGTAGTTATAGGCTGACACGAGGCTGTTTGAATAGTACCAGATGCATTTTATTCGTCAAATCAAAATATTTGCAGCAAATTATGTATAAGTGATGGAACATGCACAAGATTTGAAATATCAAGTATCCATATATTGAAATCTCTTGTCCTTTATGAACACATATGTGGAATAAAAACTGCACCCCTGCAAATAGACATTTACGTACACTGCGCATCAATCCAAAATGTTTGGAAAAAATGCCTTGTATTTTCAATACACAATATTTTTCAAAACAAAATTTACTATGAACAAAAATTGTTCAACATTTTCTCTAGTTTCATGTGATATAATCAGTAGATCAATACCTCCACTAAGAAGGAAGGTATGATGGTTTTCCAAACACCGACGCCACAATACATGGAAATGTGTAGTTGGATGTTAAGCAGATGATTTCTTCCCAAACTTTAAACCTGATCCTTCTTGAGAGTTGCTGTGACTAGAGACTGGAGCTGTACCAGTTGGGACCTACCCCTCGTTGGCAATAAGGTAGCTGCATTTGTCTGGTGCCAGTCAAAGCATGATTTGTTACATTATTTCTTAAATCTATTCTATTCTGCTCTTTACTATTCATACTCTTTATTGCTAAGTCCAGTCCCAATGCACAGTGGTTTATAGTTATCAAGTTTGACATCTTAATGATATAGAACTGAATAATATCTAAAGATTTAAAGCCACATACACATTTTACTAAACAACTTCCTAGAATTATGGAATCCAAGTAACTTTGCATGGAGAACGAAATCCAAGTAACTTTGCATGAAATACTAGCAACTGTGCACGGAGAATGAAATCCAAGCAGCTATGCATGGAGAATGAAATCGATTGAAATTGAAGCGATGCAGATAAACAGTCTTAATGTAAGTGTGTGTCTTCACTCCATGTCTCTGATAAGACTTTGATGAGTCCTAGCATTGAATTAGACAATCAAACACTGTAGCCAATCTTGGACACCAAAGTAGAGACAATCGCTTCCTTAAATATAAGATACTTTCTTTGGAATGGTTTTATTGCATTGTATTGATGCTTACAATGTTTATTTGTTTACATTGCTTAAGAACTGTAGTAGAGTTGAGTAAGAAAAATACTGTTTTCATCAATAATACCCTGGCATTAAACAAAAACACATTACTGACATGAATGATGTAGGTTTGTCATGTCAGTACACACCTTACACAAACAAGGAAATTGTACAAAAGCTGTGAAGAAGATTTGATAACATGCTGCAGATGTAAACACATCATAAAGAAGATGTAATGTCACATTCATCACATTGATTATACTATACATAAATAAATATTAAAGTTTCCATGACCAACAAAATCAATAAATTAATAAAAAAATATTTTAAGTATCTGTATTGCTTTTCTTTATAAAATTGCTCCTTTCAACAGTGAAACAGAACAGGGTTCAGTTCTTCCCTTGATGTGGGGGAGTCTCCTCCGCTTTGATGTGGTGAGTCTCCTCCCTTGATGTGGTGAGTCTCCTCCCTTGATGTGGGGAGTCTCCTCCACTTTGATGTGGGGAGTCTCCTCCACTTTGATGTGGGGAGTCTCCTCCACTTTGATGTGGTGAGCATCCTCCGCTTTGATGTGGTGAGTCCTCCGCTTTGATGTGGTGAGTCCTCCGCTTTGATGTGATGAGTCCTCCGCTTTGATGTGGTGAGACCTCTGCTTTGATGTGGGGAGTCCTCCGCTTTGATGTGATGAGTCCTCCGCTTTGATGTGGTGAGTCTTCCGCTTTGATGTGGCGAGTCCTCCGCTTTGACGTGATGAGTCCTCCGCTTTGATGTGGTGAGACCTCTGCTTTGATGTGGGGAGTCCTCCGCTTTGATGTGATGAGACCTCCGCTTTGATGTGGGGAGTCTCCTCCGCTTTGATGTGGTGAGACCTCTGCTTTGATGTGGTGAGACCTCCGCTTTGATGTGGTGAGTCCTCCACTTGATGTGGTGAGTCCTCCGCTTTGATGTGGTGAGTCCTCCGCTTGATGTGGTGAGTCCTCCGCTTTGATGTGGTGAGACCTCCGCTTTGATGTGGTGAGTCCTCCGCTTTGATGTGGTGAGTCCTCCGCTTTGATGTGGTGAGACCTCCGCTTTGATGTGGTGAGACCTCCGCTTTGATGTGATGAGTTCTCTGCTTCGATATGATGAGTCCCCAGTACTATATCCCGTCAAAGTCAGCATTTCATCTAGCTGAAAACAGTTTTGTTCAAAACATTTCCTCAGAGGAAAACAGGCTGTTTTACAATTATGTACTGCGTTTCTAAATAGGATAATTACGACAATAACAGAACCCATATATCACTAATTGAAAAACTTTAAATGCTGAAAAATTCAGTATAATTTTGACAATAAATTAGGATCCTTCAGGTTTCAATTTTAAGGAAAGGAAACTGAATGTTAATAGTAAGAATCATTGTGCCATGCTTCAAATTATTTACGTCTTAATTCTTATTCAAATGATAACAGGAATTTCTGACAGAGCAGGTCATTTTAACAATTCAAAAGATTTGACCCTGTGATCTTGAACATTTTTATCTCATGCCAGCATGATAATTTCAAATATCCTATTCTTGGCAATTTTATTTTTGTAAAACAGGGTAAAATGAGAGTAAAAGAAATACATACAGAGAGACTACTTTAAAACATGAGCAGGTGTAACAGAAAGGTAAGCGTCTTCTGCTTCACTGACCGCAACTGCCATATAACTCTTGGTCAATCTAAGAAAGTAATGTTGAGTTCCCAAAGAATGTAACATGGTTAACAACTAAGGAACCACCATGCATCAAACACATCTAACTTCATATCACACAAGGATATTACACATTTCCTAAATAGACCATTATGACAACTAAAAATTTTTTCCATAATCTTCATAAGTCTGCATTTCTCCAAACCCTGTCCTGTGAATTTAACTGTCTCAGAAACATGCCTTTGAATATCAAATCAGCTGTGACATGTTGATACCATAGATTGAAGAAGGATGAATATAGCTATCTTGATGGAAGGTTCACAATAGGGAAATTGATACCACCCCTTAATGGTCCAATTTATTGGCATTTTTTTTCCTTGACAAACTTTCCAGACCAAGAAAGAACAGAAAAAAAAAAAAAACCAAAAGTGATACTTTCCCATTGAAATAGCTTTCAATTGGCTTATGGAGAAAACTTTAAAGGGGCTATTTAGTAAAGTTTTTTTTTTTTCTAGTTACAAATTCATCCGTCAAAATGTAGTTCTATAAGCCTTATGAACTATCCTCAATGACATATTGATACAAGCGCATGTTTTCCATTGATTTTTTAACTAATTATTTGGGAAATCCGTATCATCTGTACAGACACAATAAATGATAGGTGCATTTGTTTACAAACAGTCTTCTTCCTGCCAGAGGGTGCAGCATTTCCTGCTATATTTGGATTATCGCTTTTTTTGGCAGGGGCATCCCAAGATTTTAAACTGACCACACTGGACATTGGCTATGTAGGAGAAAACTATTATGTACAGATTTGTTAGTCTGGACACATATATTTTCATTTCCAGCTGAATAGAAAAACCTTGCTTGACTAAATAGCCCCTTTAAAAGTAGCAATAATGAGTATCCATTTGACATATGTTATCAGCTGTCCCTGTTTGAATGCTGTAAAACTGATAACTTCACATAACACCTATCATAAATCTAAAATAAATAGAATTCATTCGAGATGATCCCAGACATGACCAGATAATGATACCCAATTCAATATAATGTTCACAAATTATCTCAGACAATGCTTCACATGTTACCGTGAAGTCCAAACAAGGTCAGGTCTCAACATTAACATCAAGGAATCAGATAAATATGACAACAATAACTGTGGTAATACCAAAGTCTGCTGTTCATAACAATTCATGTTTATATAGTCATCTCGACTCCACATAAGACTGAAAGAATCCAATGCCTAAAACATCACAGTCCAGTTTCCAGAGTTCAGAGTTCAGGTAACAATTGAATTTGTAGAAGTCAGGTATCATGTAAAATTGACCATCCAGAATAAGAGGACAGAAGTCAAACTTTACAGCAATGTAAAGGGCGATTGGACTCTGAAATATAAAAAAAAAAAATTTCAAAGTAAATGCCTCAATGTACAGAGAGATGGAAACTGTGATTCGCAGAAATGGAAATAGTATTGGCTAATGATACAACACTATCATAATCAACAGTTTGACAGTGATACCGAGGAACTACAGAGAAAAAATAGTAGAGTTACCAGCTTCCAGAAAAAGGAAGGATTTACTAGTTTTCATCTGATAATGGTTGACTTAATATAATTCTGTACAGAGCACTGAATCCTCTGCACCTAAAAACACTTAAAGTATGGTAGAAAAGATCTCCATTGTAGAACACAGTCAGTTGATGATTTAAGTCTTATAACACAGCCAATAGAAGATTTTATTGTTTTTTCACTATTTTATAAAACAACCAGTAGAAGATTTTGGTCATATAACACAATCAGGAGAAGAACATAAACAGTAGATTAAAGTTCTTTATAACTTAACCAGTTGAAGATTTCAGTCCTATAGCACAACCACTAGCAGATTCCAGTCTTACAACACAACCAATCAAAGTTTTTAAGTCTTGTTACAGTAGAAGATTTAAATCTTATAACACGACAAGTATAAGATTTCAGTCATAGAACAAAACCAGCAGAAGTTTTAATTTTTTATCACACAACCAGTGGAAGATTTACCATCACCAACAAAAGGAAAATGTTCCTAAATGCAATACTGAAAAATAAGACATATCAAATGACTATTCACATCTGAAGTTTATCATATATAAAACTCAAAATAAACATATTCCTCTTAACAGAAAAGCAGTATTTATCTGGCAGTGGAAATTTGAAACCTTTATGTTAATCACATGTATAAATTTGGTTAATAAATCAGTTCCCTACCTGGGAAAAGACATTCTGTACCATCCAAACAAGAAACCACCCAATCACAAGCATCTTCAGATGTTAACCTACAAGAAATACAGGAAACATAAAGAAAGGTACATTACAATGATCCTGCCAATTAAGGTAACATGGATGCTGTTGAAGTGATTTTGTTTTCTTACTTAATAGGAAGTAAAATTTAATAATCTATTACTTGTATCAATGTATCAATCACAAGGTACATACCCATTTCATTACAATGATCAAGCGAAAAAATAAGTATATATATATATATATATATATATATACATGTTTACTCTACCTGAATCTGACAGCCACTGAGTCTTCATACTCCAGGACCTGAGTTTCTTGGATGGTGCCATATTGGGCTATCAATTCTTCTAATGTGGAGAAGTCCATTTGTCTGGGTAGGCCATCAAGCTGAATGATGTTGCCTTGTGTGATTTTCCACATGTTCTCGGATGTTTCACTTGATCTGCTGGGTATGGATTCAGTATCACTTATATACAGAGCTTCCTCGCTTGATGTTCTACATGACATAGATGATTTACATACAGCAGATTTTTCTGGAGATGAGTCACTCATGAGAGATGATAATGAACTGTAATGAACAGATGAGGAACCTTTACAAGGTAATGCCAAATTGTTGAGATCCTTTAAGCCAGATGAACCACTATCACTGTCATATACTGCAGATCTTTGGTATCGTGGTGAATGTGATGAAGATGATAGAGAAGGGAAATCTTCCTCATATGTTTCAGAACTTAGAGTTGGTTTTGACAAACTGGCAAAAGGACTCGACATCTTCACTGCAATGTCTGCTTTCCCCACAAATGAACTGTTATCCAGAAACAAAGGTTCATGTCTCTATTGCAAATAAACGAAAAAAACACACTTTATAATCCTATTTTTGTATCATGAAGAGATCCATGTACTGTATCATTTGTTTTGTATCATGAGAACATTTTTAACATGGTCAATATCCTTCTTTCAAACTGGAAGCTTGTTAAAAGCATTACTATTTTCATCTTCCATCACCACTGAAATAACTTTACTGGAACAAAATCCTGTATAAATATATCTTAATATATACTTCTCCAAATTTTTATCAGAAAGTGCTTTTGATTCAATACTGAGGAAACAAATTCAAGATGACCAGTGACCTGAATATATTTTTTGGACATTTAATATAAACAGCTGGAGAATATTTGTGATATATAAATGTATATGGAACTTAACACAATTTCAACCCTAAAGTTCATAAAGTGGAAGTCGCCTTTTATGTCTCTAAAAATCAAGACAAAATGTCTTAAGATATTTGAGGTATATATCACAATATTAGCTTCATAACATCAATGCTATATCTAAGTTGAAAAGAGCAATACTGCCACTGACTTCAATGCAATGTCTTAAATTACCTAAAAGTCATTCTGATCTCCCAGAGTTACTTCCCTTTGTTTCAGTTATCAGTAGAGTGATAAGCCTGACAGCAAATGGACACTCAGAATGACAGAAAGTGCAACTTCAGAAACAATTTCTTTTACTTACTGGTCTATCAACTTCAATGGCTGTCTGGTCTCTGTGATCACATCCAGTTCCTCTAGTTCCTCTTAAACCAGGAAAGGCTTTTGCTTTTTCTTTAAGTACTCTCCCTCTTCCCTTTCCCTTCTTCCTCACATTTGGATCATACGAGGTAAAAGGCATAGCTTGCAGCTCCTAGAAAGTACATAATGCATGATTCATCCAAAGCTATATAAAATTGAAAGGAAAAAATGATAATAAGTAAACCTGGTTATAAATTAATTTGCTGTAAATTGTTAACCAGTTTACAAATATCTCCTGAATCCAAAAATAGGATTGTATTTTCATTAAAAGTTTTTTTTTCTACAGTACTCGGTCTATTGCTAGATTTGACAATACTGACAACAGAAAGAAGGGTTTAATCACATAAATATTGATATGTCTCTCAACACAAGTGCCTGATTTTGTTATCCAATCATGTGCGAGATAAATTAATTCAAACATGTCAGATATAAGTTGTTAAAAATTTGATTTTCTTTCAGAAATAGCAGTGACATTTTCAGTGATGTTTTTCATATTGATTAACAAATAACATTCAAATAAGTGATGCTTCAAGTTACATACTTCTAACTGTGGCTTAATGTGTGGCATTCGTGGTATACGGCGTTCCTGGTCCGACTTCCCTCTGCCAGAACATCTACATATATAAACCTCCTCATCAGATTCAACTTGTTCAATATCAAATCCAAAAATCACATCTGTATAGAAGTCAGGATCGTATAGTTGCCATCTCATACCCATGCTAATAAAACTACAAATAGAAAATATATGCATCTTATCAGATCAAATCTAACCTTTTAAATTAATGACCTCATAGATACCTAATAACTTTTTTAATTCATCTAAATGTATACAAATATAAACAAGTTTCCTAGAGGAATCTTGGCACCACCATTGTTTGATCTTTATTTCTTCTTTTAAAGGTGGAGGTTTTCCTTTAGTTTTCTTTCCTCTGTTTTACTCTTTAATTTGGAAATTCTTCAAGAGAAATAGCAATGATATCCTTTAATCAGCAATCTTGTTTTTCCATTTACTCTCGATAGTCCCAACTGTTCTAACATCAAAAAGAGACTTGAGATTAAAGGTAACTTATCTGGTCCTTCTTAAAAAATAGTGATAACAAACTTCCAGTCAAAATCCAAAACGGTTGCATCTGTTCAGTTCCACAAATAGGAGTATAACTAGGGAAATTTACATTTTAAAGATAGTCAGCAAGATAGTGAAATTCAATGAGTTTATCTTTATGAACCATGTGAAACTCGAGAAAGTTCCATCCATTACTTCCAAGGACTTCTTGATACGAATCGTTCAGGGACTGATGATAGATAGATAGATAGATAGATAGATAGATAGACAACGGACTGTGAATGCAGGGTAATTTGAATATATAAAGTCCATGATAATTTTTAATAAAATAAAGCTTCTATATATATATATGTAGTTTATTAAGATTTACTTATTCTAGTGAATATAAGTATTAGTTGGTGATTTCCCTGCTATTACTCATCTGTTACCAAAGTAAAGAATTTAGATGAACTTTCAGAAGTTGCTACATGCCTTCAAACCCTTCTGTTATGCTGGCCAGAAAGCAAAGTATGGTAACCAGTCCTGCTACAGTGTCTGTATGTATTTGTTATTCCTGAACCTGAAGACTCATCTGAGTAATATGATTTGTTCCGAATTCACATTGGTCGGGGTTCGTCAAAGAAGCCAATCAAAATCGACATTCTAAATACGCGAACCGGGGTCAGGGGAGGCTACTCTCAAGTATTTCGCAACAAAACGTATCAATATAATAAAACATGGCAACTCCTGGAAGACGAATAAATTTAAGACCTCCGGACAAAGGAAGCTTCCCTCTTGATCATGAAGGTGAAGAAGGCTGACTTAGCTAGAATTCATTCAATCATTACTATGTAAATGAAACTTCACATCTGCTTGTTTAGTACACTGGTGTCGATACCTGAAATGAGCGTATTGACAGACGAGGCTAGTAGTAGTACATATACCTGTAACTGAGAAAAAGAGGGATACTTTATGAGGTGTAAAAGTAGTGTAAACGCGTGTATACAGTTTATTGTGGCGAGTAGTATGGCAAATCATAGGTGACGGAAAACAGCCTGTAAAATTAACTTTCTGTCACGGTAATATATAATAAAAAAAACATCAACTGATCAAATAAATTAGCGTTGAGAAGCCTTCATTGTAGTTATATGTGAGAGGAAATTGGAGTAACTTGATAAAGCTCGAGTACGTCCCCCTCCATACACACACCTTTTCTACATCCGTTCATCGGGTTAGGTCCTGCCCCGCATATTGCAATAATCATATATTTGAGGGATAATTAATTGGTGTATTCAAATGCAGGACCACGTGAAATATGAACCTGCAATGGGTATTCCACATAATATTTATGTATATAAGTGTGTGTTTACTGCAACAAAGAATACAAATTAACCCAGATTTTATCAGAAGGAAACTTAAGGTCAGCTCACATAAATGCCTTTAATGGTGCAGAGGTATGTTATCAATAAACACATAAATACATGAAGTCTGTATCGTAGATATCATGACCAAGAGGGCATTCTCAAAAACTTTATAAAAAGCATTCTTGATCAGATATAAGAAAACAATTCTTCAGTCAACGAACTGTAAATTTGTGGAACAGATTGCCCCAACATGTTATAATTGCTACTACAGTCAGACATTTTGAAATTTTATTTCATGAACATTGCAAAGTCAATAAAAATGTTAAAATTTAGTGAATTCACGAAACTGCACCAGAAATAATATGAACACAATATTTTCATGTACTATTAAATATTGATATGGTCATAGAGGCTAGTTGGCCTGCATCCATCATGTATCCTAAATAAATCCTTAATGGATGATCCTTGAACATCTTGACCGACTCTCCCTTCAAACAAGACAAAAAAATATTAGGATAATTTCTTAAAATATGCTAGTACCAAATAAGAGAATCTTTACTCCTACAACTGGCTATACCAGATGTGCACAACAGAAAACGTCAAACTTTCTTTATAGAACAAGGCTATGCTTTATTCACAATTTCCATGATCTTATCTGTTCAGATAAAACTCTGACTTTTGATATTTAAGTACTCCTTTCAGCTTGTTTCTCTTTCTTGCATCAGTGCACCTATTATCAACTTGACATGATATAGTTACTGGGAGACATCAAGGTAACAGTTACCTGGTCATGGTTGTTGTACTTTGTTACTGAGAGACAATGAGGTAACAGTTACCTGGTCATGGTGGTTGTACTTTGTTACTTAGAGACAATGAGGCAACAGTTACTTGGTCATGGTTGTTGTACTTTGTTACTGGGAGACATCGAGGTAACAGCTACCATGACTAGGACACCATGCATGGTGGTGCTAAAATGGTTAGATAAACATGATTAGAACTGAAATAGCAGCTCTCTTCTACTCATTACAATAAATCTTGGTGATTATACTTACAGCAATGAAAATAATGAAAAGATGCCATATGATGTGCACATATTAATAGAAAATGGTTTATGAACATGTGACTTAAAGCAATATTTTTTTTCCTTTTGTTGAAGGTGAATGTAAAAATGCAATGACAAAATACATGACCTGTTTGAAAGAAAACCAGCAAGACAATGGATTGTGTAGGGTTCAAGCTAAAGAATACCTGGAGTGTAGAATGAACAAGTAAGATGACCAAATATTAACATTGTAATCATAACAACATGTACATTTGTCTAATGGCTGAAGGGCGATGAGTTATAGAGTGGTTATAAAATTCCCAGGAGTCTTTTCATACATGTTTAAAGATAATAAAATATTTGTCTCATATGTAATATTATCATGACTTTTCTAAGGGGAATGAACCTTCATATCAAATTTCAGAATGATCAATTCATAAATTCTGAAGATATAGTGATAACAAAATGTATGTAATGGCCTCTTTTCACCCATTTAGTTATTTCATCAGTTCCATGATGGACAGTAACTAATGAGGTACTAAAGGAAGCATACAAATAAAATTTGAGAAATATCTGCCTAGTACTTACCATGTAACACAATGTCATTTTTTTCTCTCTCTCTCTTTTTTTTTTAATATGTCCCAAATTTAATCATGCACAACAAGAGACCAAAGGGAGTCTGCATATGATATGAAGGAGTCTGAAGACTTGCTTTGTTTTATTGTATATGTATAGAGTCCATGTTACTTTATTTACAGTAAATTGGATATATGAACTGAATAAGAACTTTAAGAGTATTTAAATCAGTTTGTCATAGTTCTATTTTTCTGTAATTGTGTTCAAATTGAAGTTTTCTTTTTCAGTAATCTCATGGCAAAAGAAGCATGGTCCAAACTTGGATATAAGGATTTAGTGAACACATCACCACAACCAGTATCTGGAAAATCATGACACTGGAACCTGCCGTATAGAACTTATCACATTTTGTGTAATATGTAAATCAGACCAAATATTCTGTAGCTTATACACATTTTGATGTTATCTATTTTACATTCTCCCCTCTTAATAAAAAATATCATTGTTTCTTTTTTGCATTGTTGTTATGTAAACTTATGATTATACTGGAAAATTATGTTTGGTTAAAAGGGACTAGATGGTTAGATTTTGTTATTTTTGCCCATGCTTTTGATTTTGTGCAAGCATTGTAATACTTAAAATCAGACTTCACAAAATTATAACACTCTCAGAGAGAAATTGATAAATATTATCAGCTTCAAACTAGCGCTGGTCAAAACTCATTGTTGTGTCTACTACCCATTGCTGTTTTGATAGGAGATTAACAAGTTTATCTCAAGACCTTTCAGCTGGTAATTAGCTAAAACTTAATTTGCCAGCCATGTTTCATTTCTTAATTTGTAAAATGACCTCTTGTTTCATGCTATACCAGTGACAGAGTGAAATAAATGAAATTGAATTAATCTGAATCTAAAATTGCATGCACAAAGACATTGTTTACACTTACTGAATGACAATGATATGAATTAGTGTTGGGTTGTTTCTTTTTTTTTTTTTTTTTTTTTTGAATTTTTGATTTTGCCAATAAATTGGTTATGCAAATTTTAAGATATCATAATTTACAGAAAGAACACAATTTTTAACAGATATTTAAATGTAATAATGCTTTTTATCAATTATGAAATGAATATCTAACCATTTAGTGCCTTTAAATTACATATATTGTCATATCTTTCCACCTCCAGTACAGCTCATAATTGGTCTCAACTTCCATCTCATGTGTGGTGAATGATAATTTACTTCTATCTCACAATGACATTAGTTGTCATGACATTTGTTTCGCATATATCTGATAATTGGTCATGACGACTGTCTCACATATATATTATATGTAGTCATGACAACTGTCATATATATCTCATATGTAGTCATGACTGCTGTCTCACATGCCATTGATAAGTAGTTAAGACTTCCATCTTGCATGATGTTCTGCTAGAACTGTGACAAATACAGAGGGGTTCTTTACCAAGGATATGCTTATTGAATTAGATACAGAAGGTGTTTTTACTAGAAATAGGCTTATTGCAATAGATACAGAATGGTTTTACCAGACAGATTTATTGAAATGGATACAGAGGGGGGTTTACCAGACAGATTTATTGAAATAGATACAGAGGGGGTTTCACCAGACAGATTTATTGAGATAGATACATATGGGGTTTTTACCAGACATTGGCTTTTTTTTTTAGATAAACATAGGCTTATTGCTCTAAGATAAAGAGGGAGTTTTACCAGACATTGGCTTATATAAACTAGAAAATGTCTGTAAGACATGAATGCCCCCGCCCCCCCCCCCATGTGAAATAATAGTGAAAGGTCTGAATGAAGTTGTTAGGTGGTATAAACTGATTTGGGACGGGACGCAACGGGACGCGACGGGACGGGATGCGACGGGACGGGACGGGACGGACGGACATGGGCAACGCTATATGCCCCCGGCCATAAATGGCGGGGGCATAAAAAAAGGTATATTTAATAAACAGGGTCATTGCTCTTAGATATAGAGGGTTTTTAAAAATAAATGTGTGGGTTAGTACAATAACAGAGTCGACTTTATGTTGGTATGTGGGTTAGAGATATTCTACCTGAGGGTATGGAACTTGGGTCAAGGAATTGCTGCGGTATATGTATTTAACAATAATTCTATACCAGAAGCTAAAATATCCATTATTCTATATACTTACATATGGTTGACTACTTTTCTCCCACCTCTTACACAAATATTTGGTAAACAATGTTGATCAAGCAAATGCATGGCTGAATATGACAAAATTTTGATTGGAAATCATCAGCAATTTTTTTGAGTTGTATCCATGGGCAAGACATTTTACCCTAAATGATGGGCCTCTGTATGTTCAGTGAGGTAGCCATCAGCCTCTTCAACAGGACTTGCCTTAAAATGATCCCGACTGTTCACGGTGAAAACCATAAACCCAGCAAATAAACACAACAATAATTGAACTCTTCAACAGGTGAAAATGTTTTCTGGGATATCTAGTTTTTAAAATTAAAAGCTTATTGGCGCAGGGGTGCTCATTACCCAAAAAGGCATCTCTATTGAGCTCAAAGTTACATGTATCATGGTAGTTAATTGTTTTTATTAGGATGTAATCTGGTGCAGTACATACATTAGAATTCATGGTAGGATAAGGATCCACAATATACCCCTGCTACGAAATGTTGTCAATGGAGAACTGACCCTCAATCAACTCTTACAACGTTAAACATTGTTTACATGATCACTATTAAAGGTAGTTGTGTGTTTATAAGTTCATCTTTTATTTGAAGAATTTATTCACTGTTAATAATGGTTTTACATAAAAATCTTCAGGGTTAATCAGCTAACTTGCACAATCACATTCTTACAAAAATTTGTACCACGATTAGTATGCTAATGAAAATTACTTATGTTTTGATTGTCAAACAATTTTATCTCCCTTTCTATAATAAATCACACCTTAAAAAGTTTTGCAGTTGACAAGAGACAAGAGAAGAATCCTGATTCAAAGAACCAGAAAACTGTTTTTTTCATAATCTTATGAAAGTTTGTAGTCATGACCAAAATATTGAAAAGTTTGTAAAATGTTTAGTTCCTTGATGATTTTCATCGAACTTTCATATATTCAAACATAAGATGGCCATGCTTGACAGAATTTATCGATCACACAAGACAAGTTTGTAAAAGGAATTGGCTAAGAGTGCTACACTTGCATGCTGTTCCCTGAGAGTAATGTCATGCAATTCTGGAAAAGATTCTAACTGTATTTTTAATATATCTGGTTGATTCTCATTCATCGTTTTCCTCAATAACTTGTAGTTATTCACATATGCAGCACCAAAGTGCTTCACAATATCTGTTTTATAAATATCCGGTATCCTCTTTATATCCACAACTTGCACATCTGAATCTTCTGTCTCTATGCGTGCTCTCAACATAGTCATGAAAATTGAACGTAGCATGCTGTTATAGAGGTCTTCTTTGTCGTATTTGTACAGATTTTGTTTTCTGTATTTGCGAACAGGCTCTCTAATGATGTAGACACAGCCTCCTGGAATTTCAGCCAAAGCTGCTTTTATCTGTAATACAAGAAATTAAACAAATTGATGTCATTTATTGTGCTGAAGTTTTTTGATTCAAATTAAATGCTAATCCTTCAGACCTGGAATGTTATGCCAGTGAAACACTAACAATGAAGAATTGGACTGCATGAAAGTTTTGATCAACTCACTTGCACAATAACTATTTTCCATTATAGTAGTCTAATACTTTAATTTTCAGATTTAAAATGTTATCACCAGCTAGCACTATTCAGTAAAGAACTTCGTTGTTGAAATGAGCTTTTAGACAAGTTGAGCAAAACAGCATTGCTCTGCACTAACACAGAACTTGGCTGTTTAATGTTTGAGATCTCAGGCAAGGTAAACTAACACAGGAATGCTTAGCAGTAAATTAAGTGCAGAACGGCATTCTAATATTAACTCTCTAATTTCAAAATAATGTTAGAGGTTACAGCCTTCTACAATACATACCATTTGATGGTGGGATACATGATCAAAGAGGTTCACTGTAAGCTCTTCACTTAAGAAGACATGATTCCAATCCTCAACTTCTAACTGTCGATTCACTTTGATCCAGGTCACTGACTTGGTAACATTAATATCAATCACAACTATGCTTTGTAGCTTCTGTGGATAAAAAATTATAGAGTTATTAGTTATTAATCTTAAATATAATCCTGGAACGATTCAAGTTTTATCAGAATTATTGTGATCTAGATATGGATTGTGGATAACCAGTAATATTATACACTCAATATCAATGCACAATAACGCCTTCCCAATGCATAAATATTTTCAATACATACTTCTTATGCACCCATCCATCCAAAAGATAACTCCACTTATAAGGTCTACTTTACTTTAGGTAAATACACACCAATAGTACATATTCTGAATCTTTGTTCTACTAAGGGATCTGAACATTTACCTCAATTTGTCTTTCTAACAGACCAGGGTGACAGAAGTGTGTATACAAGAGCTCCAGTGGCTGTAGTTCCTTACACATACTTTGAAGACATTCGTAACTTCCAACATTAGCTTTTAATAACTCATTCACACTGGAAATTTTCCCATTCTTTAAACGATACTCCAGAATATTTTTCACTAAAGATTGTGTTGATTCCATCTCTGTCAGTGAGCACAAGGTTTTTGCTGAAAGATCATTTAAGACAGATAATATTCTCTTCTGATGCCTTTCATTCAATTTCAACACTGGTGATGTTTCGACGCTCTGGAATGGAGTTGCTGTTTGCTCATCATTGTAGAATTCTCTTTTATTTGATGTCAGTGTTTCACAGTAGAGACGTCTCTGGTGGTAAAAAAAAAGTAAAATAACATGAAATAATTCAATAATTTGTGCTGATGAATAAGTGATTTCATTATGGTGGAACTAATTTCAAACAGATATGCCAATCTATTTCATAAATTGGCAGCTAGGCTACTGTTGGTAAACAGCTTAATTCTCTTGCCACGGTTTTGAACTTCAGATGACCACTGGTCACCCCTGCAAGGCAGCTGTCATAATTTACTACCAATCCCAACACCAACATCCACAGTGTACCTTATGTCCAACTGTGTGTAGCAGATAATGTTGAGGTGCACTGACAAGGAAAACTACATCACAGTTTGAGTTGACGACAGAAGTTTATATATATATATAATCAATGAAGTAATAGCAACAGTACTGACATGCCAATTGTCAAATTTTCAAGACATCCTGCCACTTTATCAAGACCTAAATATTACAAAAATTACATCACATGCATAGAACATAAAATAAATACAAAGTTATAAATCTAAATTGATAGCGGTGGTGTAAATTTAGGTGTCTTGATAAACCTTTTGGCTGATGGCGAAAATTTGACAATTCGCTTGTCCATACTGTTGCTCTTACTTCATTGATCATATACCTATCCCAGTAATACGTATCCAATGAACATTTGTTTGTTAGGATCCAGTTCCAATATTGGACTATACTGTTGATATTTCTTACTAGATTCTTTATACATATATCTAAGATGACAATGCTGAAAGCATTCAAGATTGTGTGCATCTACCAGTTTAAATATCATGTTATGACTGTGCAATGTTTGGTTGCAGATTGTACCAAAGACTGTGCATGGAAAATTGTGGTCAGATGAGGAATGACATATTCTTGGGTTCATGAAGGAAATCAGAATTTATATTTTTCCATTTGCTACTTGGTTGTGTGCGACTTTGTAAGGTATGAAGAGTAAAGAGTGGTTTCTGTGTTCCTACCATGTCAGGGACACTGTCTGTATAGTTGCACATACTTGAAGTGTACATATGTAGTAGCTCTTCTTTGAATCATTTCAATCTTATATTGGTGAGGATTTTTGTCATGGGTCCCAAGTGATACAGCAGGATTCCAGTTTTGGGTGTACATACATGTCTCTGGACTTGCTCTTTTGTGTCTATGTTGCCTGTTTTAATGCTTCAACGTGTGAATCTCAATCTGTTTTCTGCTTTGTTTGTAATATTTTGTTTGTAATATTTGATTATTTTCCGTGAGAAAGCCAGTGAATACATCCCTCTATTTTTCCTTTTAATTCTTTTCTGTAGATGGTAAATAAATTTTGGGGAATAATTTAGCATTCCTTATTTAATCAATTTGATGAAGCGTGTAAACGTTTTACGTCGAATTTATCCTACACAATTGGATATATGTACATGACTACCAAACGAACATTTATGTGTTATATATGTCTCTGATTTATCATTATCAATTTTCGAAACGTAACTTCAATCTGTTTATATCAATGGCAATGTTCCTACATCGTTGACAGTTCATGAGTCAGTAATAAACAATTTACTTTAGTAAGGTTACATCCTAAGAATACTATACAACATAAAGATGTATCGCAATGTAAACATCTCTCACAAATACTACCCGGACATCTCTAATATCTTACTTGGACATGACGAGGTGTCAGCTCATTGCTACTTTACTGTTAAATCACACAACTGATGTTTTAAAATGTATCACATATCCATCAACATTAAATAGCGTGAGCCAATCAATGCTCTTACCAAATAACAATATGATGTGTTTAACGAAGAACGTTTCTTCAAGACAGCGGACCACCAGGACCTCATTTTCCCCAAGTTCACCTATGTTTATTTTAGTTATCCCCCTTGGAAAGCGATCTACGAGAGCACGCGACCCCTGAAATACGGGTGAGGGTTCGACGCTAGGCACTGATAAAGCCACAGACAAAAGCATTTTTTTCCTCATCCATATTGATTTTTTATTGTTTCTATTCAGTTTCCTGCCAATTATGAGCAAAGAAAACATGAAATATTTGCTAAAGGAATCAGCTTTATCACAACAAACAAACTGTTTAACAATTATCTAAAACCCAAGACGTATGAGAATTACAGTGCATGTTTCTGAAAAAGTGTCAATCATAATGAGACTATTAATTGATTTTATGTGTATGATTTTGATTTGGGTACTGCTTTCAAGTGCCATAATACAAACAAATATTTTTTTATCCCTACTTGATTATCTTAAATCTCATTGAGATCCACCTGCCTTTCCCATTTACTTAATCCATTGACAATATTCAAAATCAACCTCATTACATGTCTGGTTCTCTTCTGAGATCCAGATTTTCTTTTTAACAGTGATATACAAACACGAAGCTTGCCAAGATTTCATCAGTCATTTTGTATTTTTTGGATATGAACAACAAGGGACCAAGAGGAATTGATTCTGATGAAACTTTCTCATGCTTACAGAAGGTAGAAAAATATATAGAACTCATACCATATTTCACAGAAATGCAGACATCAGTTGATTATTAACTGTAAATGGCATTGATTGTAGGGTTTTATAACTAACTGTAAATGGCATTGGTTGTCAGGTTTTATTATCCACTGTATATGATGTTGAATGTGGAGTTTTATTATCGATTCAAAATGGAATTGGTTGTCAGGTTTTATTATCAGTTATAAATGGAGTTGATAGTGGGGTTTTATTACCCATTGTAGAGTTGGTTGTCAGGTTTTATTACCCATTGTAAATAGAGTTGGTTGTCAGGTTCTGTTACCCATTGTAGAGTTTATTGTCAGGTTTTATTACCCATTGTAAATAGAGTTGGTTGTCAGGTTCTGTTACCCATTGTAGAGTTTATTGTCAGGTTTTATTACCCATTGTGGAGTTGGTTGTCAGGTTTAATTACCCATTGTAAATGGAGATGGTTGTCAAGTTTTATTACTCATTGTAAATGGAGATGGTTGTCAGGTTTAATTACCCATTGTAAATGGAGATGGTTGTCAGGTTTTATTACTCATTGTAAATGGAGATGGTTGTCTGGTTTCATTACCCATCGTAGAGTTGGTTCTCAGGTTTTATTACCCATTGTAAATAGAGTTAGTTGTAAGGTTTTATTACCCATTGTAGAGTTGGTTGTCAGGTTTTATTACCCATTGTAAATAGAGTTGGTTGTCAGGTTGATGGTTGTCAGGTTTTATTACCCATTGTAAACAGAGATGGTTGTCAGGTTTTATTACCCATTGTAAACAGAGTTGGTTGTCAGGTTTTTTTTACCCATTGTAAACAGAGATGGTTGTAAGATTTTTTTACCCATTGTAAACAGAGATGGTTGTCAGGTTTTATTACCCATTGTAAATAGAGTTGGTTGTCAGGTTTTATTACCCATTGTAGAGTTGGTTGTCAGGTTTCATTACCCATTGTAAATGGAGATGGTTGTCAAGTTTTATTACCCATTGTAGAGTTGGTTGTCAGGTTTCATTACCCATTGTAAACAGAGATGGTTGTCAGGTTTTATTACCCATTGTAAACAGAGACGGTTGTCAGGTTTCATTACCCATTGTAAATGGAGATGGTTGTCAGGTTTTATTACTCATTGTAAACAGAGACGGTTGTCAGGTTTCATTACCCATTGTAAACAGAGACGGTTGTCAGGTTTTATTACCCATTGTAAATAGAGTTGGTTGTCAGGTTTTTTTACCCATTGTAGAGTTGGTTGTCAGGTTTCATTGCCCATTGTAAACAGAGATGGTTGTCAGGTTTTATTACCCATTGTAAACAGAGATGGTTGTCAGGTTTTATTACCCATTGTAAACAGAGATGGTTGTCAGGTTTTATTACCCATTGTAAATAGAGTTGGTTGTCAGGTTTTATTACCCATTGTAAACAGAGATGGTTGTCAGGTTTTATTACACACTGTAAATAGAGTTGGTTGTCAGGTTTTTTTTACCCATTGTAAACAGAGATGGTTGTAAGATTTTTTTTACCCATTGTAAACAGATGGTTGTCAGGTTTTATTACCCATTGTAAATAGAGTTGGTTGTCAGGTTTTATTACCCATTGTAGAGTTTATTGTCAGGTTTCATTACCCATTGTAAATGGAGATGGTTGTCAGGTCTTATTACCCATTGTAGAGTTGGTTGTCAGGTTTCATTACCCATTGTAAATGGAGATGGTTGTCAAGTTTTATTACCCATTGTAGAGTTGGTTGTCAGGTTTCATTTGCCCATTGTAAACAGAGATGGTTGTCAGGTTTTATTACCCATTGTAAACAGAGACGGTTGTCAGGTTTCATTACCCATTGTAAACAGAGATGGTTGTCAGGTTTTATTACCCATTGTAAACAGAGGTGGTTATCAGGTTTTATTACCAATGGAAAGAGAGATGGTTGTTAGGAATCAATTTTGTAACATATAACATACCAAGCACTTAAAACCTATTTTCACTTTTAGCTTTCCTTGTTAACAAATGTGTTAAGGCATAAATTACCACATAATTACCTTGTCAATATTGTCGGGCATTCAATGCTTTTTATTATTAATATCCAAAATATTCTTGTGGTCAGAAATTTTGTATCTTTAGGTTCCACACTCCCTCGTATTATCAGAACTTTTGTGTGGTAATGTCCTGAGTATGAACATCCCAGACTCGTGTGTATGATTGTGATTTCAGATTTGTAACATTTCATACTCTTTTCTGCTATTAGAACTTTTGTGGTAACATCTCTGATACTCTTTGTAGTGGGGTTTTATTATCCAAAAGTAACAACATATCAATTAATTAATATTAGAATTTGTCGTAACATCTCAAGACAAGTACATTAAAGGAATTGGCTAAGAGTGCCACACTTGCATACTGTTCCTGTAGATTACTGTCCTCTACACTGTTGTACTGAGCAAGCAAATTTGGTTGCATGTGTAAAACAAATGTGCCATCTAGTTTCCGATCTTTTGCTTTCTGCAAAATTTCACAGTTAGAGTCTCTGAATGACCAATAACCACCTGATTTGTAAATTTCAGGCATAGTCCACATATTTACAACATATACATTTGGGTCATCCTCTACCTCAGCTTTTAATTTAAGCAAGGTTGTGAAAATTGAACGCAGAGTTCTATAATGCAACTCCATGCTACTGAATCCTTTTTTCTGCTTTCTGCTTTGATCCCTTTCCCTGATGATATAAATGCAGCCACTTGGAATCTTGGACACTGCAGATTTTGCCTATAAGAAAACGAAAATCTAAATATCAGTTCTGTGTCACAGAAATGTAGGTCATAACACATATTTACATTTTTTATAAATTGTGTATGTTTCTTCATATCATGATAATCTGATTACTATGATTCCTTGACTGAAACCTTCGACTTCACATTTAATTCAAACTGCATCAACAAACCTTTTTGTTGCATCAACAAGTTACTTCAATGCTGTTCTAATTACTAGAATAAACCAATAATATAACCATGGATGCATTACAATGACCTCCTACTACATATAGCTAGCTACAAGGACATATGCAAATGACACTAGACTAAGGTATGTTAGGATGAATGATATAGCAGTTATCATTAAAATTTAAAATCATGACCAAAACCCTTTAAGAATTTCTAAGATAATGTACATTTTTTTATCTTGAAGTATGGAATTTGATGTCATCATTGTATAAACTGTAACCTAATCATGACCTTTCTAATGAGCAGGGAAAAACCTAGGAGTTAAAAAAATTAAAAAAGGAAGAAAAATTAAGGGGTCAATTTCTATCTTGTGGAGTCCCAGAAAATTTTACACTAGATTTCAATTAACTGGAGTACATGAATTTCAAAATTTTGAGATCTATGCAGATTAATTTCTTTTGTCATTTTCAGTTTTGATGAAACTGATTTATTCACATAGCCAACCTTGGTTAAAACATTCTTGTCCCATCAAAAAAGCCTTATGACAACCCCTACACTTGTTTAACCACCGAGCGATGTGACACATTCTACACTCCATAAACCATAGAGCCTTGTGACACACTCTACACTGATTTAACCATGGAGTCTTGTAATAACCATAGTCTTGTGACAACCTGTACACTTCTTAAACCACAGAGCCTTTTGACAACCTCTACACTGGTTTAACCATAGAGCCTTGTAACAACCTGTACACTTGTTGAACCATAGAGCCATGTGACAAGTTCTGCAATGGTTATACCATATAAGATGTGACAACCTCTTCCCTTAAAGCCAAATGAAAAATTCTTCAATTGTTTCACCATAGAGCCTTGAGAAAACCTCTACATTTATTAAATCATAGACCCTTGTGACAATTTCTTCACTTCTTTTCCATAGAGTGTTTTGACAACCTTTACACTTGTTTACCATAGAGCCTTGTGATAATCTATTCACTTGTTAAACCAGAGCACCCTATGACAACCACTAGATGTGTTAAACCATAGAGCCTTGTGACAACCTAATCACTTGTTAAACCAAAGCACTTTGTGACAACTATTACAAGTGTAAAACCATAGAACTTTGTGATAACTTTTACAAGTGTAAAACCATAGAACTTTGTGATAACTTTTACAAGTGTAAAACCATAGAACTTTGTGATAACTTTTACAAGTGTAAAACCATAGAACTTTGTGATAACTTTCACAAGTGTAAAACCATAGAACTTTGTGATAACTTTCACAAGTGTAAAACCATAGAACTTTGTGATAACTTTTACAAGTGTAAAACCATAGAACTTTGTGATAACTTTTACAAGTGTAAAACCATAGAACTTTGTGATAACTTTTACAAGTGTAAAACCATAGAACTTTGTGATAATTTTTACAAGTGTAAAACCATAGAACTTTGTGATAATTTTTACAAGTGTAAAACCATAGAACTTTGTGATAACTTTTATGCTTGCTTAACCATAGAGCCTCGTGACAACCTCTACAGGAGTCTTGGACTTCTTTCCTGTAGTGTACCTACCATGTCATAAAGGAACACATTGTTGAACATATTCATTTGAGGTATTAACATGGCATGATTCCAATCCTCCACTTCTAGCTGTCGATTCACCTTGATCCAAGTGACTGACTTGACAGTGTCAATATCAATCACAACTATACTTTTTAGTTTCTGTGGAGAAAAAAAAAGCTTTTTGACTTGGCAATGTAGTAGTTAATATGATTTAGCACAACTTCATTCCTGAAGAAATTCACATATTTCCCAAAGTGTCATTGTTAATTGGATAAGTGGCTATTCAATTACAGAAAAAAATTGATTTTAATTTCAATATTTAAAACAATTTTTACACACAATGAACCAGTTATCCAGTGAATCTGCCTAAACATTATGTACATGTATGCCACTATATAATCATTATGATATCATTTTGTGGACAATCACATTACATGAACTGAACATAGTTCAACAAAATATCAGTCTCTGTTTGACTGAGTTTGCCACATTCTGACACTAAGCCCTGTCAACATGTAACTCTTTTTAGCTAATAATGTTATAAAAAAGTATCTTAAATTTGTTTTCATTTCATATGAAGTTTTAATTTTTGCTCGCCAAAGCTTGCAAAAAGAACAATTCTAAGACCTGTTTCATAAAATCTCACATGAAATGAAAACCCAATTAAGATCCTAGTGATGTACATACATACAAAAGAGGGCTGATTAATAAGTTGTGAGTGTCCTTTTCAGCTCTTCATTCCGTGACTATTTAAGGCTGCATACTCAAAGACTGGTGTGATTGTCAGTTTACAACATAGAGGTAGCACTCTAAAGTAAACAAGGCAAGTGACTTTTGCAAAATAGGCACAATCACTGAAAAAGCAGTGACTCAATATTTGCATTAAAAGGTCTAACAGCTAAGGATATCTATACTGATATGGCAGCAACACTAGGGAATGATGCCTCTTCATATGCTACAGTGAAAAGGTGGGTGGTGGAACTTCAGCATGGCAGGCAGAGCCTTGGGGGTGATGCCCATCCTGGAAGGCCTGTCACTGTAGTAACCCCAGAAATGGTCAACACAGTCCATGATATGGTTATGGATGACAGGAGAGTTACAGAGAGAGATATAGCTGGTACAATTTGGATTTCACAGGAAAGAGTACATTGCATTCTTACAAAAGATCTTGCAATGAGAAAGCTTTCAGCCCTTTGGGTACTAAGACTTCTGATTGTTGATTGGAAGCACACAAGACAGACTTGTCACGTGTTAATCTGAACATTTTAGAGGCAGATCCTGCCAACTTTCTGCAGGGGTTTGTGGTTATGGATGAAACGTGGGTCCATCATTTCACCCCAGAGACAAACAACAGTCTAAACGAAGGAAGCACCCTGGTTTACCTCCACCAAATTAGGTAAAGACTATTCCATCAGCTTGAAAGGTTATGGTAATGGTTTTCTGGGAAGCTGATAGTATTCTGATGGTAGATTATCTGCAAAAGGGATAAACAATCATAACATATATCACTTATAAAGCAGTTAAGAGAAAATATTAAACTCAAGCACCATGGAAAAATTGGTAAAAGTGTGTTGTTCCACCTGGTTAATGTCCTTATTTACAAGTCTGTCATTGTCATGGCTGCCATCAACAACTGTGGCTTTGAATTGATTGAGCATCTGTCTTATTCACTGATCTTGCTCCAGCAGACTTTAATCTATTTCCAAAATTGAAAAAGGCCATCTCTGGTACCCCCATTTGGTCAGATAATGAGGTAATACATGCAGTAGAGGACTTCTTGAACGTTTGAAAAAGGACGTCTTTAAAAGTGGCATTGAAGCCCTTAAACATTGCTGGCAAAAGTGTATAGACACTGAAGGAATTTATGTTAAAAAATTATGGAATATGTCTGCCAAAAGTAAAACCCTTAAGTATGAGACTCACAACTTATCATTCAGCCCTTGTATATATGACCAAAGGATTGGAAATTGGTTACGAGACAAATCACACCTTAACTTAATACATGTATATCGTCATTTGATAATGAAATACATGGGAAGCAACTCCTTTTTAGCCATGTATGATAAAAATGAACGCATTTTGAAAGGAAAACCTAAGATTTGTTTTATGAAATACAAAATATGGGATATCTTCTGAACATATATGGAATATCATTAAGCTTTTAACCAGACATTTGTAAATATTTGGTGTGAATGAATATCCGTTACAGAAAAAGGCCCAAAAAAGTCTACAAGGCCACCTACTGATGAAGATTAGAAATCTAATGACATCATGCCTACTTTTCTATGATCATGTGGAGTCTCAATTATCTATCCCTTTTGTTACACAGTACTGCAGTAATAGATTTTATTTACCTCAATTTTCTTTTTTGACAATGCAGGAAAGCAGAATTTTGCTGTCTTTGGCCTTGATTTCTTCAGTTCTGTATATAAGTATTGTAGACGTTCAAACCTCACAACACTGGCTTTTAAAAAATCATTTCTTGAGCGAAAATCAGAAAAAGATTGCTTGGATTCAATTCCTTTCATTGTTTGAAACCCTTTTTCACAGACATTGTTTAAGAAGCTGAAGACCTTTTCATGCTTTGCCTCTGACTTCAATATGGATGATGTTTTGTCAGTGTGGATTGGGTCTAATGTCTGTTTGTCATCATGAATTTCTTCTTGGTTTGTAACTGGCTTTACACAATGAAGACATCTCTAGAAACAGTAAAAGAAACAATTATAGGAAACAGCAGCATAACCATGAGATATCTAAACGCACACAATGATGTTTAAATTCCATAACAAACCAAAATCAGATTTAACTCTCATCCATAACCAAACCAGAACCAGGCCTTCATATTATGATATAAATGCATACATTTATATATCCATACCCATCAAAAAGTAAATGAAAAATAATGACGGAAAAAAGGGAAATGCTACAAGTTCAATGTTTAACAAGAGGCTTATAGGCCTAAACATTCACCTTAACCAATAATCATTGCTCTACACAAAAAGCGTGACACAGCACATATATATATTTGAAATATTGTTTAATCAACTTTATAAACTATTTCAATGTAATCCCAGTTTGAGTACTGTCTACTCTTCATTTCTATTAATATCTCCTTAATATAATATTAAACATTTATCATTATTTGTTTTCTCAAATAGCAAATGCATTCCAATAGTTAATATATAGGTCATGAAAGGTCATAGGTAAAATAAATCATCAATATCAATCAACGTTATATCCTTTTCATTTGTTTGTCTTATTAGAATGTAAGATAATGCCAAAGGTCAATACATGCAGCTCACCAAATGTCACACAGTTATTGAGTTATTGCTTTCAATAGATATTTGACACTCAATGACATTTATCAATTAACATTAATCATATTGTTTATTTATTTTTAAATGTCAAAATACAAGTTCAAGTCAAATTATAGTTCTTCTAGTTAAGCTGATGATACCATGACTTGTTAGTTTCTGGTCTAAAAGTTACATACCAACAGGTTGGAGAATAAATGGAAATAAACACACAATCATGCAACGAACATGCCCATAATGCAATTATACAATCCAACCAATCACATGAATGAGGTTAAGGCACATGAACTATTTCACTATGTGTTTACTGTACAGAAACATGTTTTTTTTTTACTTGAGGAATAATCTGCAATGGGATATGGTTTTATTTCAAAAAGGAGAATATGAAGTTAAAAAATATGTCAATATAAATTTGTACCCTTCCTTTCAGCATGGCCTTTTTTGCACAGAATGACAATGATTGTAACATATTGTTATCGAGGATGTCTTAACAACACACATTATCTCCAAAATATTACTCAGACAAGCAATAACATGTGGTTCGGTGTTTGATAATAATTTGGTATGTACTTCATGTACAATTTACTGTATGTATAGGCCATGGTGTTTGTGTACTTTCTCCACAAGTTAGAAAAAGTCATACTTTTAAAGTTATATATACATTTTTGATTTAATTCGTAAATTCTCTATGTCCTTATTTCTCTTGGACAGCTCCCAGAATCAGTAAATTTATGAAGCTTAAAATCTGTTGATATTGCAGTCTGTCTTTGGATTTAATGAAATAAGATCATGTACAGCAAGGAATTTTCTCCCCAAACTGCACAAAGCACATGTTTTTGCACAGTACTGTAAGTATGTAGTAAAACTTCACATGTTCATGTGCGTAAACTTAATTCATACAAACGATAGCATAATGAAAGTGCATTATGGATGAGGATTGTCTGTTTAATTCTATAATATGTTTTTCCTAGTGTGACCCCTCACAGCTAATTCTGACAGCTAGCATTATACACACAAACATTTCAATGGCATAATGGTTATGAACAGAATTCATGTGCAAGTATATTATCATTTTCGAAATTATTCCAATTTTTATTCACCTTCTCACATTTTTATTATGTGTACAGATTATCAAGAAATCAATTCCAAAGATTTTTTAGAATCAAGTGATCTTGTCCATAAACAGAAAATTGGTGTAATTTTTCATAGCTCAGCTACCCCTAATTGTTCTGGTGGTTATTTAGTCCCAATCATTCTGATCGACTTTCATCTATGGATTTGGAAGTTGGAGTTGATGAACGTCATATTTTCGACCCCACAGCAAGAGAGCGACTGATGAATTGACTCCAAGCAAATATATAAAAGTCAACAGAATGTCTACCCTAACAATACTGCTTCTCTACTGAAACTTTAATGAATTAACAAAATTACTTATCTACTTTCTGGTATCCGCTCTCCATGTGCTATAAGTTTGCGATGTTTACGAGTCGGTCTACCCTTATAAACGAAAGCGGTCGTGCCTCTCCTTAATTATCACTCTTGTTACGTTATTAGGTATCATTACGATATAAATCGAGGCAATAAACTGTCTCAGGTCCAGTACTTACCAACAAGCTTTCAGACGGAGAGGGTTTTCTGTTCCAAGTTGCAAACACCAATAAGCGTGTTAAAGGCATGGTATTTTTTAGCAAATCAAGTTGTTCTGGCTTCTTCCGATTCGATGGGAGTAGTCCCCCTTTAACTATGTCTACGTCCGGAAAATTTTTAATTCATCAATTGCAATTACATGTTGTAACAACAATAACCACACAAATGAAAGAGGGGAGAGGCGTAAGATATTTTTTTAAGTGAGCAAGTGAGTCCAGACCAGCTGAACTCAGAACAGACTTATCTTATTTCCAATTCTCCCCAGCACTTGAAACGGATGCAGTCTAAAGGTTCATGCTAAGGTGTTGTTTGTGTTGCGTATAAATCATTATGGGAACTCCCCGTGTAAAATATGAGATTCTCGAGAGGGATTCCGAAAAATCCTCATATGATCCAAAGATATAACACACCTCCACCTTTTAAAGTCCAAGGACATTTACCGATTTACGTCCCTTCAAACGCCAATTTTCCAGTGCCATGAAAATTGTCCTATAAAATGACCATTAAAAAATGTCTCTACTATTTCAATTGTACCTGCAAACTCACATTTGGTCTTCTCTCTCCCACGTAACCAAGGAGTTTTGTTAAAAATCATCATTTTATGAGGACAGTCCAATCTGAATAAATACAGATGTTTTATTAATAGCCTTAGGTATTTCTTAATTGATTTTAAGGAGTTGTGGACATCCCATCTCATTTTTGTTGAGGACAACCCATTTTCTGACAGGTGTTTGTTAATGCTCTGATGTCCTCATACCTACAGAGATAGGTCTGTAACCACAAAGATCGTCTCACTGATTTAACAAAACCCAGATAATACCGTGAATATCTATGAGATATGTAGTTATATTTAAAAGTGTCATACACTTGTCATTAACATATCTTGGAAGTGATGATGCAAGAATGTCTTTGTGAATTAAGTCCCCCCACAGTTAATACCACGAATATCTAGGAGATATTTAGTTATATTTAAAAGTGTGATAAACTTGTCATTAACATATCTTGGAAGTGATGATGCAAGAATGTCTTTGTGAATTAAGTCCCGCCACAGTTAATACCGCGAATATCTAGGAGATATTTAGTTATATTTAAAAGTGTCACAAACTTGCCATTAACATATCTTGGAAGTGGATATTGGAAGAATGTCTTTGTGAAACAAGTCCCTACAGTGACGGTAAAAACTAAAGGCAGAGAGTTTATAGCAACAGACAGATATGTCAAGAAAAACAAAATTAATAGGCAAGGTCGGAGAAAAACGTACCTAGAGACATAGACAATTTGAAAGTCAAAGACGGACGAGTGGACATAAGAGAGACACACAAAAATACGCAAAAAGACAGATGGAAAGACATGCTGATATCTATGTAGAAAACATACATTTAGAGATACCTACGTCCGGACAGACAGAAACATACACACAGAGGTACGGACTAACAGACAGAGCAAAACATGAGAAGCACAAATATATACAGATATTAGAAAAAACATCAAGGCAGAATAAGTCGTCGGCAGATACAAAAAGTCAAAATGATGGGCATAAACAAACTGAAAATCACGACAGACAGAGAAACACACAAAACATACGTTCAGACAATGATGTTGAAGTACGGACAAGCGGACAGAAAAAACGAAGCAAGACACACGTATAGAGAGAGACTAAGAGAGTAAAAGACACAAGAGAGTCAGACTGGTTTAGACAGACAATTTTTTAAAGATAAAAACTGACAGACAGCCACACAGAGATACCGACGTCTGGAAACACAGAAACATACAACAAATCGATGGACCTGCAGACGTAGAAACAGAAATACACAGACATATAGAGAAAGATACAGTCACAGACAGAAAGGCAAACAGCCGAATAAATTGAGGAGAACGTGTCGAACTGTGAGGCATACAAACTGAAAGTCCCAGGTAAACTGGTGGAGTCGTTAGTTCGGAAACACGTTCACATATACATCTTCAGGCGTAAGAACATCAAATCATTGTCCTCACAGTAATGAGATATGATGTTCTCATATACAGTTACTAGGGAGACAGAAGACGAAAACGTGATTTTGCGGGCAAACAGATATATTTTCAGCTATTCGTGTCTTATAAGTATAGGAAATTGTCTGCCGTGACGAGTCGTAGAATTGATGCTTTTGGACTGTCAAGCTCAAAGAAAAGTTGTTTTTTAAAAAAATCCCTGAACTCCAAGGGGAAATTGTATTCAAAACTGCGATATGCGTCATGCGGTGTTCTTTCTGTGGAAGCAATGCAATTATTTGGATACGAAAATGGTACCAGAAAGCCAACAAGAAAAACATCTTTTGAGTAAGCTTCTAAATTATCTACAGAATACAAGTGAGATACTGGCATGGTTTTTATGAGCTCACTGGTGCGAAGGACTGATGAGCTTATGCCATGGCGCAGTGTCTGGTGTGTCAACGTTTTATTGAAAATTGCTACTAGTCATTAACGACGGAACAGATTTTGACCAAATTTGGTCAGAAGCACCATAGGGTTGAAGAGGAACAAAGTTAGTATACATACGGGTTATCTGCCACTAGGGGTTTGAGGGACCGATTCCAAATAGGGCAATTTTGCCTTTTCTTTAAAAGCGTACTCCTCTTGTAGGAATTAATGGAGGATATTGCCGAAATTTGGTTAGAAGCATTCTTGGGGAAAGGGAAACAAATTTTATATAAATGGTTCATCCTGACCCCTTAGGGCAGGAAGTTCGGGGTTCAAATGGGGAAGTAGTGCAAATTCTTTAAAATCTGACTAATCCTGTAGCATTGATTAGATTTTGCCAAAGAGTCTATTATTTGGATAGAAAACTTTATAGAATCATTATAAAACATTTTGGTTATGCAGAAACGTGTCCAATGTGTACATATGTAACAGGCTCAAATAAACACATCATACCCGAGTATTGTTAGGGGATCTGTCATATCCGAAAAATGCTAAGTAGCTTCTGGATCATAACATAGTATATATACGAGAGGATGCACTGAAATCGTTTCAAATTATCAGTAACTTATGATTAAACAATGTTAGCATTTAAAAAAGTGTGGAGCACTACACAGAAAGAGTAAAAATATTTCGATTTATACTGCTTTATTTTCAACGTACACTCCACACGGTTGTACCGCCTATAGTTTGTCTCCCATTCACATCATGCGACGAAATACCCCAAACCACCATAAATCAACCGAAACTACCGGATTACTAGAACCACGGACTTTTTACTTACTAGGGCTGATTGATAAGTTGTGAGCCTTGAATTAAAGAAGTGAAAATGGGATGTCCTTTTTCAGCTCTACTATTCACCGACTATTTATGGCTGTATGCCCGAGGACTGGTGTCATTTTAGTCAGTTTTTCAAAGTGGAGAACACCGCTAAAAGAGTAGTGATTCAATATTGGCACAAGAAGGGTCTAGTACCTAAGGAATGATGCCCCTTCATGTGCTATAATGGTGGGTGGTGGAATTTCAGCGTGGCAGGCAGAGCCTTGGGATGACGACCGTGTTAGAAGACCTGTCATTGTTGCAACTCCAGAAATGGTCAACAAAGTCCATGATACAGAGTTACAGTGCGATAGATAGCCTGAGCAGTTGGGATTTCACAGGAGTACATTCTATTCTTACGTAAGGTCATGCAATTAGAAAGCTCTCAGTCCGTAGGGTATTAAGACTTCTGACAGTTGACATGTCGCATGCTGATCAGAACCTTTTAGGGGCAGAACCTACTAGCTCTCTGCAGAGGTTTGTGTGTTGATGAAACATGAGTACATCATTTCACCCAAGAGGTCACACAACGATCAAAACAATGGAAGCACCCTGGTTCAGGCCTCGGCTTTCTGGGATGCTGATAGTATTCTGATGGTAGATTATCTACAAAAAGGACAAACAGTCAATGGTACATATTATGCATCACTTCTAAAGCAGTTAAGAGAAGACATTAAACTCGAGCGCCGCGGAAAACTCAGCAAAGGTGTTTTGTTCTATCAGGAAAATGTCCCTGTTAACAAGTCTGTCATTGCCATGGCTGCCATGAGCATCCGACTTATTCGCCTGATCTCGCTCCAGCAGACTTTCATCTATATCTAAAGCTGGGGAAAATACCGCTTCTGCTATTCATTATCAGTCATATGATGACACCATGCATGAAGTGGAGGACTTCCTGAATGGTCAAGAAAAGGACTTCTTTAAAAGTGGCATTGAAGTCCTCAAACATCACTGGAAAAAGTGTATAAATACCGATGGGGGAAATAATGCAGTCTGGGAAGGTGAAAGTCGCTAATATCCACACTCGCGTACAACTTTCGTCGCAACTTGGTTCGTGTATACTTGTGAGGCAAAATCCCTCGAACGATTTTTTTCGCGGCGTTCCTCCTCGATTGATTGGCACCCACGATTTAATGGGTTAGCGTACCGGTAATACTTCCTCTTATTGTGGTTTCGTGGGCTGGTAGTTGATGTGTATCACTCCTTTAATAGTACCCCCGCGCCCCAAACGGTCACCATAACTTCTGGTTGGTGGCTTTGAACTTCTTTGTCCTTGGAAATATGGCGTATTTCCATTCCAGCAATTCCTGTTTATTCTTCTGATAATAATGATAAAGCCAATTTTTATTACAGGTTACAACCTTTAAATGAAAATCATCTGGACTGACATTGTACCGTGCTTGCAAGACTTCAGTGACGGAGAAACATCATTACGAATACTTTTTCATGAGATTTATATATGCCGTGATTGAACCGTACCAAAGGTCTCATCACAGGCTTGACATACAGTCCATGTAGCCCATAATTTCATACTTCTTCTAACTCATAAAAAGTGATACAGCGGTTTTCCTTCGCTAATTTGTGTATAGTCCGAAATGTTATCTAAAATATATATCCGCTATTTCATTTTGTCTTGGTCGCGGACCGTTGAAGCAAAATAAAATGGCGGATAGATTATTCAGAACCTTTCGGATTACTGGTTATGACTGATTGTCGTCCAGGCCGGGTGTCAACCTCTAATCTCTTCATTTATCGTTGGAAATCCTTCATCCAACGTTTGACAATTGCAGTAAGTAGGAAAGATCCCTCCTTCCATAAACGGCAATGAGTCGCTCTTCAAACTGTTTGACAGATTGACCATCCAAGACTAGAATCCTTATCATTTTACAAACTCACCTGAGTATGGTTCTCTTACAAAGTCTTGTAGGTCAGCAACATGATCCCTCGTGAAATATATGGTGTTGTACATTTTACTAACCAACAGTAAAAATACACGAGGCTATTTTTTATATCCTCTCGTACAAAAGAGATCAGAATGATATGAATGTATCATTACACAAATCCACAATCTGTTTTTATTAAGCAGGTTTAATGCTACGTATGAAAAAAGTGTAAATTTGCATCATGAGTTCATGTTTAAAGTTTAAAGATTATAGACTACTTGGAACGCTCTGAAGAGTTTTTCCCCCAGTTAAAGGACACGCTGCTACCTGCTCCACTAAGCAATATCATTCTTGGTTTAACTGTATCAAGTGTACACTAGCGTCCTTGAATTTTTCGAAAATGTAGTAACGTCTGCTCATCAATTTGAATTTTTTACAAATGAAAATGTCATGATGCGAGATCGTTGGCATCGGGCAAAAGACGCAAGAAAATATAAAAATTCACTGCACAACAGTTATCTGAAATTGAAGAATAATGATTATTGCGCACCAAATGTAACAATATTTGTGTTAAGGACGAAATCTACACAGCAATGATAGCAAAGAGTCAGTATATCACACATGAAACATAAAGTGTCCAAAATGCCTTAGATTTTCCAGACAGTAGTATGGTTGAATAATAATAATAAAAACACAGCGAAGATTTTAAATGTACTGTCAATCTATTTATTCATCAAAACCTAATTTAAATGTTATATTCAATCTAATATTTATCAAACATAAGTCTTTTACAAATTTGCTAATTAAACTATTTTAAATATAAAGAACGTAGACTTAACATGTGTTTGTTTAGATACAACCACAACAAACTGTCTATCCTTTAATTCCAAAATTCGTTGATAAAGAAATTAAACTGATTCAAGTGACGACAGAAATAAGTGTTTCCAAAGAACAAACTAAAAACGGACGTTGACAAACCACTGAATCAATACAATTTTAAAAACGAACATGATTTATATAGAGAGTGACATCGTAATTACTAGTGATAATATGAAGCCTCCTGGCCATAGCAATAGCCAATATGATAAACGTCACTAGAATCGACAAGAATACAATGTGTAGATTTTTACCTGTTGTACTCATAAAAATATATTTGGCTACCTAAGAATAATTCAGGTGTCTGCACTAAAGAATAACTGCCTGTTATGTAAGACCAGCCAATTCATGTCCACACGGCTCACGTGGTCATTATTTTTCAGCAGCATAACTTCGATTCTGTATCTATGACGACAATCACGTGCCAGTATTCACTGTCATGAAGGACGGAGAAGCTGCATGCCGTTCGTGTAAAGTATGAAGTAAGTAGGTTTAATATACGATATATTAAATATTTCTTGAAGGGTGCATATCGTTGCTGTATAAAACAAGGTCGTAGTACATAAAATTCCTTATTTCGTCGTTTATTTACGTTTGCAATAAGTGTTTTACGGCATCCATTAGGATAACATGACTGCTAGCAGACGATTTTCTTACTACGACTGTTTGATCAATACTCTTTCAGTTCGCTTCAGTGCGATCTGTGAGCAACACTGCTTTGACAGGGTGATGTTGCATGTAAATCTATAATTTTGTCCATATACTCGTCAAGAATATTGACCAGATATAGGCTTAGTAAGCCTATTCTATGGATCGTGACAATTTAAATGTATATTTTCTAATAGTGGTGAAGCTCCGATTCAAGTTGCAATTAATGGCACAATGGGAAATTATTTATCCTTCGACAAGGGGATTTTGTGTTGATTCCAGAGGTACCGAGTATGATCATCATACAAGTTGGCTCAACTGAACAGTCTTCGGTGATGTAGAAGGATTCCTGCAAGAGTTACTGTAAGCTTAATAACTGAATTCTACGTTTATGTAATACCACGTAGGGTAAGGAAGTGTGTTTACAAATGTTAACAGGGATTCCATGCAAAATGTTTTGATGCATGAAACATATGTTTTGTTTAGTTTGCTTTGTATATCATCATGTCAACAGCCAGGGTAATGTAAATTTGTTGTAGCTTGTGGCTATACCTCACTGAACAACATGCAAAGGACCATCAAATGCCATCAAAGGTAATAGATGCTTTCAACTTCACAGACTGTTCACAGACACAAATCCTGAGAAACCCACATCTCGGATCTCCACATGAGGTCGTGTAGTCTATCACCCTACCGACCAATTAAGCCATCACTGCCACATGGCAGAAGTAATTTATGTAAGGTATTATTTCAATGAAATTTTAAAAATATATCCAGAAAATAGAAAATATACTGACCAGGTGATTGATACACCTATGGTACTGCAATGATACATATGAAAATACCTAACAGGATCAAGTAACTTGTAAATCAATGTATAGATATTTTATATAAATTTGAAAATAGAAAGGTTCTGAGAATAACTGAGGTTCAGCACAATAGTTGAGTATTTTTTTTTTTAAAGAGTTAAAGGTTTTATTTGGAATTTGTTTTCTTATAGAGTCCTTACAGAAGTCATAGTTTAATTAACTAAAATTAAAATAGCTAACTTTTTTCTTTGAAATAAGAAAATATAATAGGTGTGCATTGACAACATTGCAAAGGAGGTATTGGCATATTTAGCATAGCACATTCACATATTTTACATAATGGGGATAATCTTCCTGAGATTAATTCTCCTGACTCAGTCAAAATATAGCTTGAATAAAAACATAAACCTTATGTATGCAGATCATTTAACTTTTTATACCCTCACAATAAGTCATCCATGTACAAAGGAATACCCAGGCTGTTTTTCTAAACTGGTTAGTACAAAGCTTTGCACACATAATCACAAACATCCCTTTTTATACCAGTTTGACTTCCAACCTTGTGCAGTCTAATACTAGGTCACTGTTACTATTAATAGAAACAAAATTGTCATGTCATTGCTCTAAAGGTTCCATTGCTTCTCCGCTTCATATCAAATTTCACATGTGTTCAGAAAGTTTGCCATTTTTTATGTGTTCAAGTTTTGACCTTTGGGGGTTAAAAACTAAGTCAACCTTATGATAAATAGAAATTGGCTTAAATTTGGATGTCACTGCTCTGCAGGCTGCTTTTTGACTACCAGAATGACAACTTAAAATTTGTAGTATTGTTTAATTTACAATATAAGGTATGTATGATTTTACTTCACATTTTCAAGAGACTTCAATTGTGATGTTGATAAATCACCAAATGCATTGTCATCCATAAAAAAACACTTACCAGCAGCATATCAAGTCACCTACCCATAATTTTGGTTATTAGACCATATCTATACCACAAACACACGCATCATCAAATCAAGAACCTGCTTTCAGTATTACACAGACCATACTGCCATTAATGCAGCATTTAAATATAAGGTACACAATTTCACTTACTTATTGTAACCATAACCTACATCTGAGGTATTTTGTATTGTGTGCGATGCCTTGTTACAGAGACATTTAAGTACATGATTCACTCTGATGGCATATTCTTGAACTAATGCAGACAACTCATAAGAAAATGTAGGAGGTGGTAATGTAAGTTACTTTCAAATTTATATTGAAACATTGAACTGACAATGTACTGCCTTGCTGTTATTATATACTAGGCATATTAATTAAAAGTGGAAATCATAGGCACACTATGGAATATTTTTTTTAAAAAAGTAAAAGGTCTCTTTGAGACCTTTAACAATTCATCATGTTAATAATGCAACATTGAATTCTAAAGTTATGTGTGAAAGGTTTAGCCATACTTTAATTAGCTGATAGTTAGATTTACTTGTGTACAGCTGAATAACCTATGTATTTCTATGTAAATATTTTCAGGTACTATTTGCCAAGTCATAACAGAAATACACAATGAATTAAATCACTTATATTTACTGTTCTCTACTTTTGTGCTTTAAAGGAGGCCTTGTTTGTTCACCTTTTAATGTTGATATGTTCAAAGTATGTTGTGTAGTGATGATTGTATACGTAAAAATCTATAGATGGTAAATGTAATGGCTTTATCATGACCTGTAATAAAGCTCACTCACAAAGCAAGTATATATATTTGACCGTCTTTACTCAATGTGAGGTGGTACTGCTGTATTACAAATTCAGTATAAGTATAATGTTGAAATGATTCCTTGAAGGTGAAGAAGATGGAAAGGATGTCTTACGAGGTACTGAGAAACTGTTTATGATAAAGTGTGTTCTTTGCATCTGCTATGTATGCAATTTACACCACAGTTATGGCTTTACAGATCCTGATTTTTTCATGATTTAAGTGGGAAAACACAATTTGTCTCTGAATGCACACTGTTTATTTTTTTTTAATGTTTTTAAAGAACGACATTGGTACAAATAGACCGTGACAAGTTCAATGCACCTCAGGTATCAGTATGTAATATATATATAGAGGTTAAACCAACTTTTTTTGATATAATGTAGAATTTTGTGTTTGGCTTATCCTCATTATTCTGTAGTTTCTTTTTGATTTATAGAGTTGGCTAGATCACCTCTGATGTACGTTCTGACAACCATATTTACAAAATGACGAAAAACTTGGATATAGACAGGATTATATATCAGCTGCTGACATATCAGGAGGCACCAGGAAAACAGGTATATTGCATGTTTTGATGTATTTTAGTGACTTACTGACATTAAGGTTTGCCTAGATTATAGCTAAAGGCAGGCTGTTTTGAGGAGTTAGAACAATAACTATAAACCTGATTTAATGTACATTGATTGCAAAAGAAGCTTATAACTTACAATCTTTATTTTACAGAAAAAATATAAGGAAAAATGTGCGAAGTATGCAGTAACCTTGAATAATTCTTTAACGATAATTCACTCCCAGAATCTGTAGACCATATGAGGCTATTGCTAAGGATACTTATTCAAACAAAACATACTTTATGTATAAATATGATAAAAACTGGATAGTAAAGCAGTACTTCTCTTTTGCAGTATATTTGTACATAGATATTTGATTTTAAGTAACATCAATGTTGTTAGATGTTAAATTGGATTTTCTGTAATAGGTTCAGCTACCTGAGTCCCAGATCAGACAACTATGCCAGCTATCCAGAGAAATATTTATGGAACAGCCAAACTTACTAGAGCTAGAATCTCCGATCACCATAGTAGGGGATATACATGGACAGTACCAGGATTTAATCTCGCACTTTGAACGCAATGGTTTCCCAGGAGAGGCTAACTATCTGTTCCTCGGGGATTATGTTGATAGGTAAATTAATTCAAAGTTGAATACACTGCTATAATTGCTTTATCTGTCTGTCTTTAAAGGGTTTTGGTCACTCCTTTGACTTTTGTGAAATTCTGCTACATTTTAATCTAGATTGTGCTATCACCCAGACAGTGCTGCTCAAATGTGTTCTGATACCTGTTTTAAGGCAGTCGAAAGTACTTCTTAGCATGATTGAGACATTTAATGAGGTGACTGTTCGTGTCGTACATGCGATGTCAAAGTGTTACTTTGATTGACCAAGTCTAATATGTATAAACAGTGGTGTATAAGGCATGCAGACACTTCTCATATGATCCCATTTTTCACGATGCCTCAAATTGAGTGGTGGATTCTGCTTTAACTGAACATTTTAAAACTGTTTAAATGAAACCAAATAAGTAGGAAATTGAAGGATGGTGAGTCAGTGATATTCTCTATACAATTACATACATCTCTGAATATATTATCGTGGTAAGAACAGCTGTTACTGTTATCAATTAACTTTTTAGCCCACTATCATCAGATGGTGGGGTTTTCAAATCGCCCTGCGTCCGTGGTCCGTCGTCTGTCCGTCCGTAAACAATTCTTGTTACCGCTATTTCTGGAAAGGTACCTAATGGATCTTTCTCAAATTTCATATGCAGGTCCCCCTTGGTCCCTAGTTGTGCATTGTACCTTTTTTGGACTGATTCGAATTCAAGATGGCCGACAGGTGGCCATCTGGGATTTTGGAAGTAAAAGATTGTTACCGCTATTTCTTGGAAAGTACTGGATGGTTCTTTCTCAAATTTCATATGCAGTTTCCACTTGGTCCCTAGTTGTGCATTGTACCTTTTTTGGACTGATTCGAATTCAAGATGGCCGACAGGTGGCCATCTTGGATTTTGGAAGTAAAAGTTTGTTACCGCTACTTCTTGGAAAGTACTGCATGTATCTTTCTCAAATTTCATATGCAGGTCCCCCTTGGTCCCTAGTTGTGCATTGTACCTTTTTTGGACTGATTCGAATTCAAGATGGCCGACAGGTGGCCATCTTGGATTTTGGAAGTAAAAGATTGTTACCGCTATTTCTTGGAAAGTACTGGATGGTTCTTTCTCAAATTTCATATGCAGTTTCCACTTGGTCCCTAGTTGTGCATTGTACCTTTTTTGGACTGATTCGAATTCAAGATGGCCGACAGGTGGCCATCTTGGATTTTGGAAGTAAAAGTTTGTTACCGCTACTTCTTGGAAAGTACTGCATGTATCTTTCTCAAATTTCATATGCAGGTTCCCCTTGGTCCCTAGTTGTGCATTGTACTTTTTTTGGACTGATTCGAAATCAAGATGGCTGACAGGCACCCATCTTGGATTTTGAGAGTAAAATCTTGTTACTGCTATATCTGAGGAAGTACTGGATGGATCCTTCTGATATTTCATAGATATTGGTTCCCCTTGGTCCCTAGTTGTGCATTGTACCTTTTTTGGACTGATTTGAAATCAAGATGGCCCACAGGCAGCCATCTTGGATGTCGACAGTAATACAGCACAAGCATATTGTCCATTATCCACCTGTAACTGACTGCTATCTAATAATACTTTGGGATCTTTTTCAAGTGATATTTGCTAATAGGTGCTTCATAAAAATATCTTGTGCCATCATTGAGTACATTCAATGAAGACCAGTTCATGAACATTTACAACACCTGTAACAAACAAAAAAAAAATAAACAAATCTTCAAGAACTGAAAACAGATCCTCAAATGGTGGGCGCCAAGATCCCTCTGGGATCTCCTGTTGATATGTAATATGGCACATGATAATACAGACGTTCAAGATTTTTTTTATGATTTTGACTTGTCAACTTTGGAGGTAAAGAATTGTTTAATTGTTAGGTAAGTAACAGGTATTTACACACATATGATTTAGATCACATAGTGTGTGTGTTTGTACAAATGGGGCAAGCTGATGTACATGTCAAAACAATGGTCCTGGAATAAGTTTTGTTTTGTTTACAATGTGATTAAAATAGGTCCATAAAAGAAACAACCTTTTAACATCTATAGATAATTATATACACGAAGGCTAACCAGTACCATAAGTTATACTCTTCATTCAATTTTGCTGTCATCTATCTGGAGGGGTTTGTTTGGACAGAGATGTCTCTGGTTATCCCCTTCCCACCAAATTTATTATTATGCAAAAAAATTGTTTGCTTAGGTCTTGAAATGTATCGCTTTAATTGTTATTGAGACATAGTTGTTCATGTAATTGCATATAGATGTGTCCGGTTGTTGCATCTCTTTCAAAATGAATTAAAAAGAAAAGAAAAAAAAGCACTATTTTTCGCTACTATACATCATTGTGTAAACATTTCACTACATGAGAAGGTAAGTTTCACTTCTAAACTATTTTGAAAATTTGTAAATGGATATATGAGTGGCCTGTGTGGTAGTGTCTTATTAGGTAAATAGAGTATTGCTATCATGGAAGTAACACTTTGATGTTGCGCATCACATGACCTAGATTTGCATTTAAAATCTGTGTGCAGAGAGATTCCAAAAGTTACATTATTGCATCACTTTAGGCTGAAATGTCACATGAAAAATCATGGGAAAAACCCTATAAATGTCTTAATGAATCATGATACAGAGTTTTATTTTGCATCTCATATAAAGGTCAATGAACATAAGTGCTGTATTATTATTCTTGCGAAAAACAATGTCTTTTGGCTTTTCTCAACAATGAAAGAACTATTTTACAGACCAATGGTTTTCTAAATTGATGTATTCCGATATTTCAAAAGATGAAAACTACAGCTTGAATGAAGGTCAAATTTTGTGACTGGAAAGTGTGCTTAATGAATTTGAAAGCCCTTTGTGAATGCCAATCATGCTGTTCAAATTGAAGTGAATGAGAAACAGAAAATATAATTAACACTGTTAATATATCAACTCTCAAAACCTTAAACAGATGTCTTAATCTGTATTGAAAGAAAAAGGTCTAAAAAGTTCATAAATTGTTTTGATTTGATAGAGGATCTTTTTCGCTCATTTTTATTTTTTTTTTTTTTGCAAGCTTAAATACAATGACCATCATTTACAAATTAAAAATCAGCTTTAGTTGATATACCTAAATTGACATAATACCATAAAAAGGTAAATTTATCAAAAGATTATGATCATTAATTTCAAAAATGCATTAAGCCAATTACCTGGTAAATAGATAAATAATGGTTTGGTTCTGTACCTTTTGTTTCTTTATCTCTGACAAATAATTCTGCATTTTAAAATTGTTGTTTTTTTTTTTAATGTTTGAACATTTTGAAAAAAGGAACTTATAGAAAAAATTACTTATATACCTTGTATATTGCCTGTATGTGTTTTTTCCTGTGTCCTGTTATTGTAGCTGAATGATAATAGAAAGATGGTGACCATTCTTTGAAATATTATCACTGTAATATTATTAGATAATCTTTTCTTTTCAGAGGAAAGAGATCTCTAGAAACCATATGTCTCTGTCTAGCTTACAAGATTAAGTATCCAAAAAATTTCTTTTTGCTGAGAGGAAATCATGAATGTGCTTCAATTAACAGGTATGGACAAATTATTGCAATCATGATTGACTGGTGGTGGACTTTGGCTATAACAGGCTTGGCTATAATATATTTCTATCTTTTTACTCCTTGTGTCAGTAGGGTATACTAACATATCCTTTGTTGAATTATACGGCTGAATGTTGTGTGGGTTATCTAGTCTTTGTTTGCTAACAGGTTATCGTTTAATACTATATACATTAGATCTGAACTTGTATTTATCTTTCACATAACAGAAGATGTTTTTCTTCTTTCTAACTCTAAGAGTTGAGAAAACGTTGGTGTGTATGTTTATCTTCCCATGACAAGGGCTGGTTTGATTGTCAGTATCACTCATGATTATTTCTGTATACTCGATTGGATAATTTCTTCTCTTTGATTTCCTTTCAAACTTATGAATATAAATGATTCAGTTTCTGCTGAAATGTGGTATTCAGGTTTAGTTAATATCCTTACATAGACTACGATGTATTGTTGAAAACATTTATGAATATTGGGTCATTATCTGCTGAATATCTAATTGCAGCAATAACTTCTCTACCCGAGAGGTGAATTTGTATGAAAATTTATTCAGAATATGCATACACTACACATAGTGCACTTGGTTTTTATTTATCTCTGAAAAGATAATTACTTTCGAACGGCAGGTGTGTTAAAATGTCTGTTGACATTTGGAGTCAATTTATTTTTTAGGCCATCTGTCCTGAAGAGTCAAGACGACCGATAGTCATTATGCTTTCTCTGTCGTCATGCTCCATCCGCTGTGCCTTGTGCATAAACTTTTTCTTTAAAACCATACCTCGGTGAATTTCAACCAAATTTGGTCCGATGTTTCAATAGGTGAGAGTAATAATTTCTCAAAATTAAGAATTTTGATTCAACCCCAAGGGGTTGAGGGACAGGACCCTAAAGAGGGAGGTGCTGAAATAATTAGCTTTAAAACCCTGCTCCTCCTTATTGCCTGTGTGGATTTCAGCAAGCCTTGGTCTGATTCATCAGTTAGGGTAGGCAATTATTTCTTAAATTCAGAAATTTGATTTGATCCCTAGAGACTTGGGGGCAGGACCCCAAAAGGGGAAATTAGACAATATTTTGCTTCAAAAATTTACTCCTTCTTAATGCCTGCGTAGATTTTGACAAAATTTGGTCTGAAACATTATTGTAGGTGGGTTATCATTTCCTAAATTCAGAAAGAAGACCACTAGAGACCTGAAAGTGGGGCCCCAAATGGGAAAATTAGTCAATCATTTTGCTTACAAGCGTTACTCATCTTTCAGGCTTGAATGGATTTTAATCAAACATTGTACAAAACATCATTGATAGTGGAGAATCATTTCTTAAATTCAGGAAATTGATTTGACCCCTAGGGACCTGGAGACAAGGCACCAAAAGGGGAAGTTAAACAATATTTTGCTCCGAAATGCTACTCCTTCTTAACACCTGTGTAGATTTCAATCAAATTTGGCCTGAAACATTCTCAAGGAATGACAGTGATGTCAAACATGCATGGAGTGAATGCTGAGATTGTCCTGATCAAATCTTATTTTTGGCTTTGGTCAAGAATCCAAAATAACTCATCAAGAACAAATAGTCTGAACCTCTTCTTGTGTCTCTTTTACATCAACGAGAAAAATATCTGGAGTTTGATTTTTAAGGAAAAGAAAGAGATGATTTGTCATTATTTTTCAGCCCGATCAAAACATGGTAACTACAGTAGCCATTTTGTAACATGATTGTGCAACTGTATTTCATGCACAGAACCTACCATTTACGAGTTTCTGATACTTTCAAGGAATGTTCAGTGAATTTGAATTCATCAGATTTGTTAGACTATCAGCAAATTCTGTGGTTTGTTCATCTGTTTGTCAGTTGTCAAATGACCATTAAGGGCCATGGCTCTCTTGTTCTTTAAAGAAATTCTCCCAAGAACTATAAAGTCTTGAACTATAAAAATTGCATTGGTCAGTAAAATGTGGGGATGAAGGGCTACCAGAATTTTCAAATGAATGACCTTGACTTATTGACTTATTTTTCAAGGTCACAGGGGTCAGATATTTTTTACTCTTCAGACAGTTTCTTTTGAATAATCAAAAGGCTCAAGTTATGTATATCTAGCAAGTTGTATGTTGGGATGATAGCCTATTTTTCTTTGTTTTCTTTAAAATATCATGAACTCAACCTACTTTTGAGGTCACATGGTTCAAAAGTGTGAAATTCTTCCAGCACCATCTAAAAAACCAAAGCTCCAGGGTCATATAATACTTGTTACAGCATACTGATACCAAGGGTTTTTAGATAATGAGCAGACTTGTGCAAAGATTCATTGTCACAATAGTCAAACATATATGTAAAAATCTTTAAATGCTTTCTTTATGAAAAGTCTAGAGCTCCAGTTATTATTTTTTGTCAACGGCAGACAGGCATGAAGGGATACATATGATCGTATTCAAATGTTAAGTCATATGAATTACTTAGCCTTAAAAAGGTTGTGTGAATGAAACAAGCTTCTTTAAACATTTATCGACACTAGAGTACATGTGAAACTCTGACAACTGTCTGTAATATTAGTGTAAAATTATAAATTCAGTAGTGTAAATGATAATTATTTTATTTCAAAGAAGTGGAAAACAACCCAGGCTTATGATCAACACTAATTTATTTAATTCATAGACACGCTCTTTTATATTTTGACACTTCATACAGAATCTATGGATTTTATGACGAGTGTAAAAGAAGGTACAACATCAAGCTATGGAAAACGTTTACCGACTGTTTCAACTGTTTACCATTGGGTAAGATTAATTTTCTCTTTGTTAAGATTTGTGATGTTGATTAGACATATGGCAATAGATGATTGCCTTTATCCATCCTTGAGTGTCTGCCTTCTTATAATCAATTCACCTATTAATTTGGAAAATTTTTACTGAGAGATTCCGTTGTCTGTTTACTTTTTCCTTTAACTCTTGTCAAGTGCACCACCAGAACTTCCTGAAACAAGACAATTGGGTGAAATACAATCTCTCACCAACACACTCCCTCGCCAAGGTGAACCCATACCACAAGTATGAAGTTCCAATGACTAGCTAGCATTGTAGGAGATAGAACCCAGACAAAGTTTTTCTTTGATGTAGGTCAAAAGTCAAAATATCAGTCACATTGATACACAACATTGTCACATCAAAGTAAATCAATACTTCAAGTATAAAGTTTCTTTGATTAGCAGTATGTAAGATAGGGCCTGGACAAACTTTTTCTTTAATGTAGGTCAAAAGTCTAAAGATTGATTAGAGTGACCTACTTTTGATATGTAACACATGTCTCACTAAGGTGAACCCATATCCTTAGGATTAAATTTCTGTGTTTAATTGTTTAGAAGTTAGGATCTGGACAAGATAGCAGAAGGACAGACAGACACAATGCAAAACTTTAGACCCCTCTGGTTCCTAGTGGGGGACTAATAAACACAGTTGATATTTTTGTATTCGATTGGTGGCAGAGAAAGGTATGAAAGTTTGCAATTCCTTATGGTTTTTGAAACAGTTGGTTTCTCATATGCAGGGTTTGCATTGGTTGTTTTTTTAAATGTGATCCTTTTTCAGATTAAAGGAGGTCCATTTGTATATTTTTAATGACATATTGCTGAAAATGTAAAGTCCTTATCAATTTTTAGGTTCAAAAAGCTTTGGGGACTGCTTCAATGCAAACTCAGCCTTTATGATTAATCTTTTGTGAATAATTTGACAAAACTATTGAATGATTCACTATCTTCTTTCATTGCTTTGTGTTACCTAAAAGTTGAGAATACAGCTGGCCATACCAACATTAGCTGGAATTTCCCTTTTCTCTAATGGTAGCATGTTCACTAAGAGAGTTTGCAGCCACTAGTTTCAGTGCTAGCATACATTGTCAGGATATTTGTTATACATCCTTACAAATGTCATTGATAAGTTCAGATGTAAACAATAGGAAATTGAATGTCTTCAGGGTTGGAGACTTTGCAAGGTAGTAGTGCTAATGTTGAGAGTAAAGGTTGCCTCATCAGTTTAGGGTGGTAGGGTGGTTTGAACAATATTGTAAGGCAGGTATAGCTCAGTTGGTTAGCGTGTTGGCCTATGTAACCTCATGTTAAGATCCAAGGTATATGGTTTGAAGCCTCCTACTGTTAGCAGTTTGCATTTCTCAGGGAGCTGAGAAATTAATTGTATTGAGCTGATGTGGTTGTGTCCTTGGGCAAGACACTTAACTGAAATTGCTCTGGACAGCATGTGACATTTGACTGGCCTCCGGTATGTTGTTCAATGAGATAACCACCAACTACATGTACTACACCCAAATTGACCCAGGTGATATACCAAGCAAACAAATAAACAGTAGTTTTGAAACCATTACACCAACAGTCATGTATCGCATTTTCTTTAATTAATACATAAAAATACATGATTGTTAAACTGTCTCAATAAAGCTGATATGTGTGAAGAGGTAATAATTAGCACATCCCATACATGAGTCTGTATGTATGTAAAGGTTTCTTATTGGACCATTGAATTTTACAAATACATCGTACTTGTATGTGGTTAGTTTTTATGCTATTTAAAGCACTGCTTTTTAAGTTGTCTCTGACAAACATGTTATTGCAATTGTAATTTCAACTTCCAGCAAAAATAGGCTCTTACAGTCCTATCATGTCTGGGTTTTTTTAACTGCATGCTTTGCATCAATTTATAAATATTTTCACTTATGATGATTGTCGATAATTTCAGCTGCCATTGTAGAAAATACAATATTTTGCATGCATGGTGGTTTGTCTCCAGATATGGATAACCTTGACCAGGTAAGTCGGGTAAATGTGTAAACTTACATGTATGTTGTGGGTCATCTTATATGAAGTAAGGATTTTGATTGTTCTGGTTTCTCTCAAAATAATTGTGTCATGACTCATATTTGCAGTTTGTATAATTGTCAGAAACTAAATGAAATGGTACTGAATAGTTGGCAATATTTGTAGGGGATTTGACTTTGCTATATCAACAGTTAGTAAAGATAGCACATACACTGTAATTCAAAACCTAAGAAACATTTTCTCAGTGACTCAAAACCTCAAAATTGTGATAGAGGTGTGCTATATTAGCATAGAACTAGCCCAAAAGTACAAAATATTAGCCATGTTAAAGTAAAAAACTATATGGTAGCTACCACACTATCTGTAAATTTAGGCACATATTGTACTGCATGATAGACAAAGCTAAAATAAATGTTCAGCAAAAATGTTAATATGTATGTGTTGTATAAGTACAGGAGTATGTATGCTTACAAAAAAAAAGATTATTTCAATATATCTTCTGGAATTAAACACCCATGCCGTAAAATGTTTTTAACAGATTAGAAACATAGAAAGACCTTGTGATGTGCCAGACATTGGACTCGTCTGTGACTTGATGTGGTCAGACCCAGATGATGTAAGTAAATTAACTGAGTGGAAGAAAAGCATTGCATCAATGTATTTATCACCTATGTGTTGCTGTTCACTAGAACCAATATGGTTCATTGAATCTGATACCATTTATTACAGAGTATTCATACATACTTCAGATTACAAAAGAAAGCATACAGAAATGTGGATGTGTGTATAGGAAACAGCTTGTCCATTTGTTTGTGTGCCATAGCATGTCTAGATATAAACTCCTCCAACTACACTAAATATTTTCAGGGCTTGTGAACATTTATGATAGGAATAGGCTTTTCAAATCACTGCCTTCTGTTGTCTGTCTTTCAAATAGTTTTGTTTTTGCTATTCCTAGTAAACAACAGGAGTCATTTTGAATTTTTTAAGCAATTTCTGTAGCTTATTGCCATTTTGGATTTTGACTTTCAAAATTTGTTACTACAAAGCATAATTTCTTATGAATGAGATATGCTTGTTTCTGTATACATGTACATTTTCAATATAAAATGTGTAATGAAAACCTGTGATATTATTAAGTATCATGTATCATTCTGTACAACTAAAAAAAAATGAGGATAATGGTGTCCATAACTTACAATTATATACATTATTGCTAATTTTCTGCTGATTATCAAATTAAAATGACAATATCGTTATATCATAGATGTATGAAAATGAAAATTTTCATTATCATAGTGACATTAAACTTCCAATATCAGTTGTGTTTGATCAACAAGAATAAGGAAAGTCATTGTGTACTTCAGGATATAACGGGTTGGGGTGAGAATGACAGAGGTGTTTCTTTCACATTTGGAGGAGATGTTGTTGACCAATTCCTGGAAAAACACAACTTTTCCCTCATAGCTAGAGGCCACCAGGTAAGAGAAATCAAATTTCTTGGGGTTTTTTTTCTTTTGAAATTTGTTTTTTCAAAAAACATATTTTTGTTGTCCACCTTTTGTGGCAGTGATAACCTTTTCTGTGTGGATTGGCCATTAAAAATATCATGATAATAACTCTGTCTGAATGTTTGTTGTTGTTACATTTTTTGTTGACTTTTTTTGGACTGCAATCTCTGCATTACCTCTGGTAGAACAAAATTATCAAAATATTGAACACAATGATAAGAATGATTGTATATGCTCAAGACACAATATGAGGACATGTATATAGATAAACTGTACCATCTTTGGTTTTTATTAAAATAAGGGAATATACCACAAAACTTAAATGTGCAATTTCAAAAGAGATCTTTTTTTTTTTCCACTTTTAAAATTAGTTTCTCAAGATGAGTAACAATATCATTTGATATGCTAGCCTGAGTACTTGAAGAGAACAATGCTTAAGTGAATACACTATATATAGGCCAAATAGTCCTCTTACTTTGTTTCCTTTCTGTTTTCTTTACAGTTGTGAAAGTTTTAATCATGTCATCTGCCAGGTTTCTTTGTTAAGAAAAATTCAATTGTACCAAGCAAATTCTTTTATTTGATTGCTGTGGTAATGACGTCAGTAGTTTGAAACAAAGGGCATACATTTATGTCCATGGACTAGTATATTTCCAAACTGATTTGGGAAGTAGTTTCTCTACGTTTTCTTCTGATGTCAATACATGCTCATTTTTCATCAAATGTGCATTTTTGTGTTGTTTTCTCTTTAATTCTTCCCTGTTAATTTCAAAAGAAGCCAGTTTTATGACATAATGAAATGATAGTTTAAAAAAGTTTAAATTGTGTTTTTAGGTAGTAGAGGATGGATATGAGTTCTTCAATAATAGAAAAGTAAGTATATTAGAATTCTATATTTATATTGTAATCTCAAAGTTTTAGATATGCATGTGCCTGTATTATCTTCATGATTTTTTAAGTTGAATCTTCTATTTCAATAAGTTGCATTTCTAACAAAGTAACTCGCTATAGGTGATGTGATGTTAAACACTGCAAGTTGAATAAATTAGATACAAAACGATAAAAATTATTGATTCATGCCACATACCAGGTAATATTTACTGATGTCAAAGTTTTTTCAAATTCCATTAGTAACTTGAGGTAAACATATTCAGGGATAAGACTGATAAAACTTGATAGTATTGAACATTTAAATTGGATACCACACTCAATATCATGGCATTCTTCGGTCAAAGTCATGTAAAAGATCAAAGGTAAGTTAATGTCACCTTGTACATGTCATATCACTGTATCTTTTTGTTCAATCTCCAATTGAACTTGTGTGCAATTAATACAATTCAGACATTTTTCTTCAGCTGGTGACACTTTTCAGTGCTCCAAACTATTGTGGAGAGTTTGACAATGCTGGTGCAATTATGATAGCTTCAGAAGATCTAATGTGCTCATTTAGTATCCTTAAGGTGAGTATACTTTTACAATATAAACCCTCTATCCAATAAAAACAAATCTAATCATATTTAACACTACTGCTTCAGTGGTACAATGTATCAGTAGATAGTATATTGTAAGCTGAGTCACATATGTATACTGACAGTGTAGACTGCCAGTTGAGTTGGAAATTGTTAGGTATCTCAATGTCGTTATGAGAATATGGGTTCTGTTCGAAATACACATGTATTGTTTCTTTAGCCTAGGGATATATCTTATAGCTTATTATAATCACTCTTGTTGGCCCGGATGGAGGCGCTTGAGGGATCTTACTGTGGGAAGAAACCAGGATAACCAGGAAAATCCCATGTGGCCAGGCGGGTTTCTTTGTACCTTTTCATGTCTTCCTTGGTATCAAACCAAGGATGGCTAGGTGAAAGGCCATAAAGTAACTGTAATCCTTGATGGTACCTATATTTATGTCCAAAAAAGTACTGATCACCCCCTCCAAAGATCCTCATACTGTGGGTAAAAGAAGCACAACTATTGTTAAATTCATGAGCATTGTCTATCCAGATGGTTATGTACTAGACACTATTGGGCCTTTTTATGGCAATGAAAATGATGCAAATATCTTCAAAAAAATTCTTGGATCAGTGGAGAACCTGACCTTGTGGCTCAGTGAAGATGACACTGTGATTGTTGACCGGGGGTTAAGGGATGTGTTGGAGCTGCTGCGAGGTTCAGGGTTTTCTGTGTACGTGCCTTCCTCTCTTCTGTCAGGTCAGACATAGTATGATTCACTTACTGCCAACGAGGACCGCCAGTGTACTGAAACAAGACGGGTTGTGGAGAGCTACAATGGTCGACTGTCAGTGGAAACTGTTCAGATAACAACTCAGCTCAAACTACTTCCTTAGTGTCATAGCGGAACTGGTTAAAGTAGCTACTGCTTCCTTGAATGCTGTACATTGACCAATTTATGTGTCCACACCGGAGAGGGACTTGAGAGACCGTCGCCTTGCTGAGCAGATGAACCTGACCTTTCTAGGCGCAACAAGGCCAACTGGGTGAAACTTGATGCCTGTTCAATAGAGTTTACATTACTGGATATGGAATATTTAGAAGCAGTAACCTGCAGATCATACCAGTTGAAAGTAGCACCCAGATATATTGCTGAGCATCTGACTCCTGCTTGAGACTTTGAAGTTTGGGTCTATCAGCATGATGAAAATCTTCTGCGAGGCCAAATCCATTCAAGGCACAAATCACAGTCAAAATACAATGTTTGGATTGCGTTTGAGAGAAATTATCAAGATGACCCTGTCAAAGATTACTACTATGTTTGTCCAGCGGGCAAGGGAACCGTTTGAATGTGTGCACATGTTGCGTGCATTTTGCATTTCTTAGGCCATATTCAGCATCAAGATCAAACTAACCCAGTCCATGCAACACTCAAGTTCAAACAAGCAATCACTTGAGCAGTTCTGCTATACTAAAATGCAAAGTAATGTGCAGCAAACTGCAACTGTTCTATCTCTTATTAGCTTCTCAAAGTGACACAAATTATGGATCAGAACTGACAAAGGCAAACCCTGTGACTATTACTGTACATAATCTATCTAATAAGGTCACTTTATTGACCTTCATCAAAAGATTTGTATAAAGCTGCTAACTAAATCTTCAAATAGTTAAACTTGCACAAAAATGTCTTTATTTTAACCAATTTAAGTTCAGCAATGTTAACCAAACGGATACAATTTGACATGAACAACCACCTTTTCAAATAGCAAGACCTTCAGACTTTTGGTTATTAAGCTGTCACTATTTAACAAAAATGAAAAAAAAATCAATGTTTCTTGGTTTTTTTAAGCAAATGTGTAAAATGACAAATTTACCGGTTTTCATTTTTTCCGAGAATCCTCCTTTTGAAAGATATCATCTGTGACCAACTTTTAAGCAAGTTTGAAAAATAGACTGGTTTCGGAAGTATGACAATTGAAGTGTCCAAAACAGAACTTTTCACAAAAGTAACGGCTTTTTATATAATTTTTGCTGCATTTTTCAACATAAAAGAAACGTTTCTACTGAAATAGTGTGATATGTGGTATCAAAATATTGGTTGGTACAATGTGCACACATTAATGACATAATTATATTGGAATTGCCTCATAATAATGCACCAGAAGGAATTACATAACAACTACTTTAACATCCACCAAGGTGTTGGTTAAGGAGCTCCCATTTTATAGAAATCAATTCTGAGACTAACTTTTCAATATTTAAGCTTCTGGTACCCATATCTGTTTATGGTTATTATATTTTGAAATTCCAAGTGGGGGCTGATACTAAATTCCCATATATGTTGACCCCACCTTTTATGGGATGGAACTAATTAAAATAAAGAAAATACTAATTTAATGACCTCATAGAATTATGAGAGGATTTAAAATTATACCCAAAGATTGGGTTAACCCTCAGACTCTTGTGGGGGTTAGGTGTAAGAATGCAGAGTGTTTATTTGGTCATACTGCTTTTAGTTACTGCTTCTTAACTATTGCATTTGAATCATATTTGATTGTAAAGAATATATCTGCTTACAAGGACGATGCTTATTTCTATGCAGTGTTGTGTTTGTCACCTGTTTGTCAACTTTTTTTTAAAATTGATACTTGATATTAACAACTAAGTGGATATTAAACAAAGTTGATCTGAATAATCCATATGGGAAAGGGAAACAACTGTACGATTGAAGTGTCTAGACCCCCTTGGAGCTTGAGGGGGTGGTGCCCATAAGATGGAATTTAACAAATTCTTTTAAAGTCCTTCATCTTTAGGAAGGTCAGGATTTTGTCAAGATTTGGATCCTTGTGTGAATGGAGGGGATGAGACTTAAATTTTTTATGACCTGGCTTCTTCCTGATTGGTGAGACGTATACTTAGGTGATTGGTACTTTTGTGTAAACAGTTTGGCAGACCCCCTAGGCAGAGGGGTGGGGCCCAGTGGGGAAATAGATGTAAATCTGTAGAATCAGTATGGATAAAGCAATTTTAGCCAAACAAACCCAGGTTAGTGATACAGGCATTCTTGGTCCTCTTGTTTACCTTTTTTCTTGAATGCAGTTATGAACTTATTGATTAAATAAGAAGTGATCAAGTGAGAATTATTACGCTACTGCATACATATATTTGGTTTAGAAATTTATAAAGATATCATTTTGTAAGAAAGACAAAATTGAAATAAATGATGTTTTAACCCTGTCATGACAATGTTTATTTCAGCCTGCGAAAGGAAAATCTGTGGCTGTCAAAAAGTGAATATGTCCAGCTTGATGTTCATCGTCTTGAAATCTGTTTGTGAAAGTCTGAATCATAACAAGAAATAACATCAATATCAAATATCGTAAGCTGTAACAACTCATTGACAACATTGGATGGTTTAAAGCCCTTGTTGTCATGGATCAGTATTTTGTGTAATGTACACTATCTAGGAATAATTGTATTGCCCTGCTATTGGCACCTGTATTGATATCAGAGATATGAGCCTGCTTATTTGAAGATTTTGAAGTGTATTGTATTTTTTTATATGTATATGTATGTCACTATATGTAGTATTTCAGTTACTTTCAGAGATAATTATGCATGCACAATGATAAATACAAAGCTGCAAAAATAAAAATTTAAATTACTGCAGCAAACCAATCAATTAAAAGGACTTCCATAACTATATAAACATCTATCTATAATTCATTTCTGTAAAATCATAAATTTTCCTGAATTTATTGTCATGATTTTGTGGGTACTCTAAATCCAGAAATTATATGTCAAAAGAGTTGACATGGATTTTGTACTGTGAATATTATGATTAAGATTTAGCTACGAAATGAAGTGGCAATGAAAATGTATGTTGTTGGAAAACTACAAAACTTGGGCTGTACAAAAAATAAATGATTTTACAGTACTTCCCAATATCTCACTAAAATAAATGTCCATTTCAATTGCATGACTAAATATTAGTTTCCTTAGTTATGAATGATATTCTAGTATCTAATTTTTAAAACCTTTTAGATTATTTTATTACCTTTATGCTTAATTTTTCAGTTTAGTCCATTAGAGGTATTCATACCCTGCGATTTAGTAATTACCTTGGACCCCAACCCTTTTGGAATTAAGGCATAAATGTTATTTTTACAGTTTATACAATTTTATGGCCCATTGAAATGAACATTGTATTTCACTCTCTCTTTGTGTCTTGACCTCAATATTCAAACTGCTAGAAAGAAACATGTATTTTTATAATTGTCATAAAATTTCATTACGACTTACTGGACAAGCAATTTGTCAAATTTTTGAGTGAATCTGCCCCTTTATCAAGACACAAAATATTACATCAGAAACATCACATACCTAGAACATAAAACAATGACGAAGTTACAAACTATAATTGAGAACGTTAAATAATGCCTTTGGCCACTGGATGCAACGAGTGAATAACCATTTTAAGGTGGTGTTTGAAAGTGGTTAATTAAATGTTAACTCTGAAGTACAATACACTTTAGATAGTTTTTCACTCCTGATTTGTCATAGTAACTACTATACAAATAAGAGATCTCCCACAAACTTGTCTGCAGCATCATTTGGCAAGGGAACTCTAAGATTGCCTTTCCTTTGCAAAAGAGGAGCGTGTACACATGTAGTTTATACATAGTTCTGAATTTTTATTAATGATGTTTTTTGCTGTGGTGTTCCTCTTCATTACAAACAACAGTTAATGTTTGACAGTACTCTATAAGCATGTGTATTAGTGTTCTACCAAAAGATGAATTACCTATCCTAAGATTGCATTCAGCATTGAATTGCTTTCATTGAGAGATGAACATGTAATTGTAGTTGTCCCAGGATTCTGCTGACTTTTAGGTACTTGACTGAATTTTAGGTTCTTGTCTTAATTTTAGGAACTCGGTTGACTTGTAAGCACTTGTCTAATTTTAGGTGCTTCGCTGACTTTCAGGTGCTTGGCTGACTTTTAGGTAAGGTTAATTGGCTGACTTTTGAGTACTTTAGTAACATTGAGGCACTTTGCTGACTTCTATGTACTTGTTTCACAGATTCCCCATGAGGCTACATGCTATATATGTAGCGACTCTTTTGTAGTTTTTTAGAGATAATTTATTGTACTTTTTTTTACAACACACTTTAAATTTGTGAGCTGTTAAGGTCCATGTGCCTTCTGTATTTATTGGTGTTTAAGCTGTATAGATTTACTTTGATCAAATGTATACATGTATTTTATGATGAACAACCAACAGTATTCTTTGAGTAAGTTCTATAAAAATGATATACATTTATATAAAATTTAATCGTCTGATATATCAACTTCATGAGAGCATTCAAATGTTTTGAGATTTTTTTTTCTTCTGTGTCCAAAATTTTAAGTGGTAAACTAGAAAATATTGATGATGATTTGATGGAGACAGATCAACAGTATAAGTGCTTACTACAGTAAATGGTGGTTTCATCTATTAAGAACCTATCAGCAATGATGTAGGATAAAAGACCAAAAATTCTATGACCAAAAAATTGCATCTTTCTGCTACAAGACAAGTGCTTCCCACTTAGGACTTAGTGCATTGAGGTAAGAAATTTAAGGAAATAGAATAATGAATAAAGGTTCTTATTGTCAACTAAAGAAGATCCCATGATGTCACTGATTTAGAGGTATGGATACACATACACCAAACAAATCTGAAATTAAATTTCATCAGAGAGTGAGGGCTAGGCTTAGATAATCATTACTAAGATAAAGTTGTTTTGAATCTTATGCATTCCGTCCATCAGACATAAAGTAATATATTTCATTCTATACTACAACTCTGTCTTTTTATTTTTATTCATATTATACTAGTGAAGGTATTCAATAATATTGCTGAAGTCTCCTTCAAACAATCAAGCAAATCTTGAGCCAAAACAAAGCTAGTGTTTCGATATTTGTATAAATGTGGTAATATCTAAATCTTTGTTGTATATTTTTATAAATTAGAGTTATCTTTCAATTTTAATTGAATGGTTAGAAATTATGATTGAATAAATGTTTTAAAATGTACAAGTTATTTTGTATTGATTGTCCTGTGGCCAAAATGGTCTAAATGACTGTAGTCATCATTTAAATACACTTGTCAAAAGTTTGAAGTGATGTATTGTAGTATTGTGTTGTCTGGTCAACTGGCTGTCATAAACTCCTATAGTTTTCAACTAACATTTTCCAAACTTGGTAGGCTTCATCACCTTAACTTGAAATTGCTTCCTGAATGGCATGACTGTATTTGGAAAAGTTACTGCCCCTTGCTGTTAATCTTGTCCCAAGATCTCTATGGTTTTCAGATGATTTCTTTCAGACTTAATAGGCTTAATAACCATGACATGAAGATGTATTTACCTAAACAGCAGTTTGATTTGACTGTGTTTGAGAGCGTTACTGCCACTAGTTGCTTTCATAAAGTTTATTTTTCGGGACATCTGTGTCAGTTTTCTACTGATTTCTTATAAAAAAAAGTCAGGCTTTATTGCCCTGTTTATATTTTAAGCATTTCATTTTTATGCTCACTTGGCCCTTCGTGGAAGATTTAAAAAAAATTTGGTCTGAAGCATCTTTGATGGAAAGCGGAACCAATTTTTGTAATTGATGGGTCTGCCTCTCCCCTTCCTTGTGGCTAAAGGGGTGAGGCCTAATAAGGAAAATCAGTCAATTTCTTTTAAATCTATCTTCAGGTATTGCAGGATATTTTCCAGATTTGGTCTGAAGCATGCTTTGGTTATTTGAAACAGTTGTACTATCTGGGGGTAACCTCACATCTCCTGCCATCAAGTGCAATTAGGGTTAAAGGTCTTGCTCAAGAACAAAACCACATCATCACTGACCGTCCGTTCATCAGCTGTCGGAAGCGTCGAAATTCAATGTCTTGTAAAAAAATCGTACGTAATCCTGTTAAACCACGATAAATATCTTGTTAAAACGAGATGATTTTACGTTGCACTTGCGTTTCGTGCTTCAGGCTACGTATCTCTTTATCTATCCATCACTCCGTTGTCTGGCATTACCCTCATTTCTTTGACTGACGCTGTCTATTCCTCATTCCATTGCTTGACTAACTCTGTTGACTATCTATTTTTACTCCGTTGATGGACTCTCTATGCCTTACCCCGTTGCTTGACTCTGTCCCTTCCTCTATTGTTTGACTATATCTATCCCTCCCTGCATTTTTAGGTCATCTGACAGAAGGGTCTGATGACCTATTGCGATCGCTTTTTGTCCGGCGGCGTCTGTCGTAAACATTTTCAACTTCTCAACATGTCTCATTGAGCTGAAACTTACCTGAAATGATCGTGACATGATCCTGACCAACGTTTGTTAATTTCGGGTTGGTCCGAAATCCAACATTGCCGCCATCTTGAAAAGCTGATTGACTCTATGATTAATCCCTTTGCTTGATTCTATATATTCCTGCCTGCATTGCTTGATTCTATTTATCCCTCACTCTGTTGATTGCCTCTATCCCTTCCTGCTTTTTTGTACTCTATCCCTCACTCTGTTGATTGCTTCTATCCCTTCCTGCTTTTTTGGACTCTATCCTTCACTCTGTTGATTGCCTCTATCCCTTCCTACTTTTTTTACTCTATCCCTCACTCTGTTGATTGCCTCTATCCCTTCCTGCTTTTTTGACTCTATCCCTCACTCTGTTGATTGCCTCTATCCCTTCCTGCTTTTTTTTACTCTATCCCTCACTCTGTTGATTGCCTCTATCCCTTCCTGCTTTTTTTGACTCTATCCTTCACTCCGTTGCTTGAATCTTACTATTCCTCACTCCGATGATTGATTATATCTGTCCCTCACTACGTTGTTTGACGCTATCACTCCCTCGTTTTATTGGCTCAATCTATTCTTCACTATCTTTTTCTCGCTCGTGTGATTGGTTCTATTTATCCCTCTATCACTGTTGATTGACTCTATATATCCATCACTTGTGTGATTGTCTTTATCTATCTATCTCACTGTTGATTGACTCTTTCTATCCATCACTCCTTTGATTGCCTCAAATTATCCCTCACTAGTTGGAATGGCCTTATCAATCTGTTGACTGATTCTATCCCTCACCCTGTTGATTGACTTTATCTATTTCTCACCCTATTGATTGACTCTATATATCCCTCACCCTATTGATTGACTCTATATATCCCTCACCCTATTGATTGACTCTATATATCCCTCACACTGCTGATTGACTCTATATATCCCTCACCCTATTGATTGACTCTATATATCCCTCACCCTGTTGATTGACTCTATATATCCCTCACTTATTGATTGACTCTATATATCTCTCACCCTATTGATTGACTCTATATATCCCTCACACTGCTGATTGACTCTATATATCCCTCACCCTATTGATTGACTCTATATATCCATCACCCTGTTGATTGACTATATATCCCTCACCCTATTGATTGACTCTATATATCCTTCACCCTATTGATTGACTCTATATATCCCTCACTTATTGATTGATTCTATATATCCCTCACCCTGTTGATTGATTCTATATATCCCTCACCCTGTTGATTGACTCCATATATCCCTCACCCTATTGATTGACTCTATATATCCCTCACCCTGTTGATTGACTCTATATATCCCTCACCCTGCTGATTGACTCTCTATATCCCTCACTCTATTGATTGATTCTATATATCCCTCACCCTATTGATTAACTCTATATATCCCTCACCCTATTGATTGACTCTATATATCCCTCACTTATTGATTGATTCTATATATCCCTCACCCTGTTGATTGATTCTATATATCCCTCACCCTATTGATTGACTCTATATATCCCTCACACTGCTGATTGACTCTATATATCCCTCACCCTGTTGATTGACTCTATATATCCCTCACCCTGTTGATTGACTATATATCCCTCACACTGCTGATTGACTCTATATATCCCTCACCCTGTTGATTGACTCTATATATCCATCACCCTGATGATTGACTATATATCCCTCACACTGTTGATTGACTATATATCCCTCACCCTATTGATTGACTCTATATATCCTTCACCCTATTGATTGACTCTATATATCCATCACCCTGTTGATTGACTATATATCCTTCACCCTATTGATTTATCCCTCACCCTGTTGATTGACTCTATATATCCCTCACCCTTTGATTATATCCCTCACTTATTGATATATATATCCCTCACTCTATATATCCCTCACCCTGTTGATTGACTCCTTACCCTATATTGACCCTCACTTATTGATTGATTCTATATATCCCTCACCCTGTTGATTGATTCTATATATCCCTCACCCTGCTGATTGACTCCATATATATATATCCCTCACTTATTGATTGATTCTATATACCTCTCACCATGTTGATTGACTCTATATATCCCTCACCCTGCTGATTGACTCTATATATCCTTCACTCTATTGATTGATTCTATATATCCCTCACCCTATTGATTGACTCTATATATCCCTCACCCTATTGATTGACTCTATATATCCCTCACCCTGTTGATTGACTCTATATATCCCTCACCCTGTTGATTGACTATATATCCCTCACACTGCTGATTGACTCTATATATCCCTCACCCTGTTGATTGACTCTATATATCCATCACCCTGATGATTGACTATATATCCCTCACACTGCTGATTGACTCTATATATCCCTCACCCTGTTGATTGATTCTATATATCCCTCAACCTGTTGATTGACTATATATCCCTCACTTATTGATTGATTCTATATACCTCTCACCATGTTGATTGACTCTATATATCCCTCACCCTGCTGATTGACTCTATATATCTATACATATATCCCTCACTTATTGATTGATTCTATACATCCCTCACCCTGTTGATTGATTCTATATATCTCTCACCCTGTTGATTGACTCCATATATCCCTCACCCTATTGATTGACTCTATATATCCCTCTACCTGTTGATTGACTCTATATATCCCTCACCCTATTGATTGACTCTATATATCCCTCACCCTATTGATTGACTCTATATATCCCTCACCCTGTTGATTGACTCTATATATCCCTCACCCTGTTGATTGACTCTATATATCCCTCACCCTATTGATTGACTCTATATATCCCTCACCCTGTTGATTGACTCTATATATCCCTCACCCTATTGATTGACTCTATATATCCCTCACCCTGTTGATTGACTCTATATATCCCTCACCCTATTGATTGATTATATATCCCTCACCCTGTTGACTCTATATATCCCTCACACTGCTGATTGACTATATATCCCTCACCCTATTGATTGACTCTATATATCCCTCACCCTGTTGATTGACTCTATATATCCCTCACTCTATTGATTGATTCTATATATCCCTCACCCTGTTGATTGACTCTATATATCCCTCACTCTATTGATTGATTCTATATATCCCTCACCCTGTTGATTGACTCTATATATCCCTCACACTGCTGATTGACTCTATATATCCCTCACCCTGACTCTATATATCCCTCACCCTATACATTGACTCTAAATATCCCTCACCCTGTTGATTGACTCTATATATCCCTCACCCTTTTTATTGACTATATATATCCCTCACACTGCTGTTTGTCTATATATCCCTCACCCTATTGATTGACTCTATATATCCCTCACCCTGTTGATTGACTCTATATATCCCTCACACTGCTGATTGACTCTATATATCCCTCACCCTGTTGATTGACTCTATATATCCCTCACTCTATTGATTGATTCTATATATCCCTCACCCTATTGATTGACTCTATATATCCCTCTTGTGTGTTAACGTTCCAGATACATGTGCCTATGGGTAGTGATTGCCTTGAATACCAAAATGTCACGACACAAGTGTCTTAAAGTGCTTGCTAATAATCATTACAACAAATACACTTTTGGTCGGCATTGTGACTCCAATATCATGTAGCGAGGTTACACACGCGTTAAGTAGGTTGCACCTAACGGTTGGGGTTTCCTCAGATCTGTGTAGCGGTCGAAATGTAATTGCACCTCACCTCAACTTCTACTCATCGTGGAGATATTTTGTGCTAAAGTGAGCCTCCAAGGGGGAAATATCGCTCTTACGAAAAACAATGTCGTAATATTGAGATAGAGATAGATATGTCGTAATTATGATGTTGGTTCGCCAGTATGAGGTTCCTTACTATTTATCTATAGTCTATGTCCGTTAATCATCTTCTGGAGACGTACAGATAATCAACATAGCTTGATTCACAAAACTTTTATTTTTGATACTGCGTAAATCGCACAATATGCCGATACTGAGACAACTTTAAAAAATAACATAAAATCATATTATTCATTAAAAGCTTATTTCTTTTTCTTCAAAATACATGTACATCACTGCGACTTACTGGACACAGGACCTCGACATGAATCCCTAACATCACAATAAGTTTTTGAGACATGTATGGCACTTTTATACACAATATACATGCTTCGGTATACTTCATTTAAATTACTAGGATTGGATTCATTAAATGTTACAGAAATCTACATGATAGTACTTGTAGACAATGTATACACTATATAAATAGGATACTGCATCTGACCTCGACAATACTAACGAACAGAAGTAAACTGGAGATAATATGCACAGTATTTGATAGGATACTGCATCTGACCTCGACAATACTAACGGACGTAATGAAATGGAGACAATATATAAACAGTCTTTGATAGGATACTGCATCTGACCTCGACAATACTAACGGACGTAATGAAATGGAGACAATATATAAACAGTATTTGATAGGATACTGCATCTGACCTCGACAATACTAACGGACGTAATGAAATGGAGACAATATATAAACAGTATTTGGCTAGGATACTGCATCTGACCTTGAAAATACCAACGAACAGAAGTGAACTGGCGATGATAGATAATACGTACAGTATATGGACTATGAACATAAAATTGAGGAGATAGCACGCGGAACAAAGAGTGGAAAAGCCGGAAGTGAACTGAAGACGACAAGTACAGTAAATGGATAGGAGATAGCATGAACGTGGCTCCAAACCAACACAAAAGGCAAGAAGAGAACTGGAGATGATATGTATAGTATATAAACGATTGATTCTAATTTGAGGTTTACACTGACTTAACGACACTCACAAGCGCTTCAGACGCGCTTTTATCTCCACCAGGGTCTAATTGGCGCTTTTTGGGATGATCTTTCCAGTGCTTTGACAGCGCGTACACAAGTTTGTCCCAGAAGAAAAAATCCGACACCTTAAGGTATGTGTATGTCTTAAGAAAATGTTTCAAGTCGGCATGTACACATGATTCGTCAAGCCCCTCTAACATTACCACTACCAAATGGCGCTCATTCTCCATCAAACTTTGATGGAAGGCTTTTCGAAATTCCAGAATACACCATTCACTCTTTAAGAAGTTGGGAGATAGTACCATAATCGTGTGTCTGCTTCGCTCCACGCTGTTTATTATGTTGTCAGAGATGCAGGCGCCGGGAATAAAATGTTTATGGTGGAGACACAATCGGAACTTGTGGACGGATTCCTCAAGTTGACGGCACATGTTGTAAACCCACGTCTCGTCCAGTGAGCTATAGGACACGAAGGCGTCGAAGTCCTTCTCCACACTCTTGGACGACGACGGTACAGGAACAAACAGACACATATTCGCCAACGTGAATCTCGTAAACACAAGGACTCGAATTTCTCGCCTAAATCTGACAAGAACAATGATAACAACGAAGCACAGGACCAAAAGTGGCAAGCAAATATAAAGTACAATATGAGATAGGTGCGTGTCCGATCTTTGCCCGCACAAGTCTTTGACAATTTTTATATATTGTCCATGCCTTGACACCGGTCTGCTGCACTTTGCCTCGCCTAGGTAGGCGTATTCGTCGATGACTGGACCATCCTCCTCCTGCAGAAACTTGACAAAGTCTTGTTGAGAACAGTTACACACCCACTGGTTCCCTCTAAGGTTGACAACACCGGGATAAAAGTTCCGTAGATTCTGTAGACTGGGCTGACGCAGGATGGATATTTGGTTATGAGATAGGTCAACTGTCAAACGTTTTCCTTTCGGAGGAGGGTTAGTGAAGTCGATAGCCGTGATTTGGTTATGAGACAAGTCGATCAGCTCCAACTTGGGGAAATCAATATCCCATCGGAACTTGGAAAGTTGGTCAGGAGCACGGCTCAGTAAGAGGTGAGAAATGTTCATGACTTTCAGACTAGGATAGATACACTTGTGGAGGAACTGTTCGTAGAGTTTCGTTTCACTGCTTTCATAAATCTCAGTGAACTCCAAGTAGTTCAGGTCCGGGTAAGTACACTGGAGTTTGTTCCTGTTATACTGTTTGATTTTCACGGTTAGTTCATTAAGCTCACTTTTCGATATGACCTCATCCAGCACGAAAGTATGATTGGTGTTTCTGAAGGTAAGTCGCTCCAGACTGGGCGGATAACCACAAGGATATTGGTCTTTATTTTGCTGATAGTTGGTCATGTAAAACGTCCACAGTTCAGAAAATAGTATAACGAAGTTTGAATCCTCTATCCGCAGGTGCCGTATAGTGTAGTTCTGTCGATAGGTTTGTTCAGAAAAATCTGTATCATCGATACCAATTATGTCGCAAGACTTGATATGAAGTTTCTCCAGATTATTGGCTTTGACCGGACGTCGTAAATGCACGCGCCCTCCTGGCTGACACGTGATGAACACATGCACTGGACCAAAACTATTTTCAGACGTCCATTCCTTAATCAAGGAAAAATTCCACGTGGCCCTGTCGTTAATAAGACAATCGATACTCACTACATTTGGTTCCAGTTTACTATCACGGTCTGTGGTAGGGCCATGTCGAGGGTCTGTTGTAAGGCCATATTCAGGGTACATTGTTAGACCAGGTTTCATTGTAAGACTATGCTTGGTACCCGGTGTACGACTTATGTCCAGTTTGCAGGAGGGTATTTGTCCTGAAACTTTACACAAAAGTTCAGTTGCCACAACAGCAGCGAACCATACATTCGTCCTCATCGTTCACTTGGTAATGGTTGTACGCCACGAGTTAAGCTCAATCCATCATTTCACACGAGATTTTAAATATGTCTGCACACTGCACACAACTATCGGTAGTGCATTATATCATTGCGACATCCGGGTTGTGTGGGCTCTTTATACCTTTGTAACCGGATATCCATGTGTTGATGTTATTCAGCGATCCCCAATCGACTTCAGTAAAGTTGCTGGCTTACTTAATAACTTTAAGCAGCTGGCAACAAATTGCAAACTAGGATAACGAATTGGATGTAAAAGTTGTACTTTGATATAATACAAATCGGTTCTGGTCGACAGTTTCTTTATCTCGTCATCAATATCAGAACCTTGGCGGAGTTATTCTCTGATAAGTATCGGTGAGAATTAAGTCAGACCGTTCTATGTAAAGATGCTTCGCTCTCTTATCAAAGTAAATCAACATTCAAATAAAATTTCAGTTGCCTGCTGTTTATGTCATACATTGCTAACACTCGGATAAATTTAATAACATTTAATTTCCATAAAAGGAGAGTTCGTATTCATTTACACCATAGAGCCGCAGCCACTATCATTAACATAGAGTAGGGTAATTTATTCTGATTTCCCAGCTGTTTTTTGATCTGGGGGTCAATCCTCTCGCGTAATGTGGCATGCGGTAAAGTATGGTCTGCTCTGATCGGGTTTCTTTTTGGTATTCTCAAACATTTTACACAATGATGTTACCAAAGGGTCAAATGGTAATAAGGAAACCGAACGGCATAGAATATTACATCTAGCATATCCAGCAGTCGGTGTAAACACTGCCTTTTAAAGGGATACTTATTACACATTAATGACCATAGATCTATAACTATGTAAACAGCCATATCTATCCAACCAGTATTAGTGGTATCTAGTCTTTCATCTCTGCTGAACGAGATCTCGACCTGCTTTATTTAAAACAGATATTTCATTGTCACTGAAATGAATTAGGTGCCCGGGAGCCGTGAAGATCACTTTGGTATTATCAGTAACTTCTGTGTGATTGCATCAGCAGTGGTCTGTGTCAATACTTCATGTTTGTTTAAGCTACTGGAACTCTCATTTCTACCAAGGTACTAGTACTAAACATACCGCCGATGTAAGCAATGTGGACAACAGGTCGGTTGAGAAAATTCACTATTTTTTTGGTGTTGCACCAAGAAATTAGCTGGCTATATTTTATAAACAGGATTTTGATAGACTGATATGCACAGGCAGGATAACAGATCAGATCAAAAGTTTGAGACCAGTGGAGACCATACCAAAATTAGGACCATAATGGGATCAGACCAGATCATTTTTTTAGCAGTACACCATAGAATATGGCCTCTCACTAGGGAATGATTCTCCCCCTGCCTTTTACACCATTAAAGGGGCAACGTGTACCCATATCTAATACATTTCGCTTTCTACATCCCGGAACATGTCATGGCAAAATTGAAGGTTCTATGTGTTACATCTTATGTACGAAGACTGGTTTAATCCTTTGTTGTACATAAAACGAATCTCGAGGTCACATAACTGTATATTGTAATGGCTTTGAAGTTTGGTATCGCTCCTTTGTAATCTTCAAAAGAAGTGTATATATCAGCCTGTGATTGGTCAGGTTTTTCCCCCTGGAACCAATCAAAATACTTGCTTGTACCTTCAATTTGCCATGACATGTTCTAGAACCCCTGGAGTAATGCGATGTATATAATATAACTCGTTTTTTCCCCTATAAGGATATTTTATATAACATACAAGATATATACTTACACACATTTAATCATCACCAAGGATCTTGATCTATTTCATCAGTTATCTGACTTGTAGACATCGTAATCAAAAGAACCTACAATAACAGAAATTCTAAATACCTTCCTAACTATCCTATCACTCAATATATCTTTATACCTATCCTATCACTCAGACAGGTGCCTAATGCTATAAACATCTCTATACCTACCCTATCACTCAGACAGGTGTCTAATCCTATAAACATCTCTATACCTGCCCTATCACTCAGACAGGTGTCTAATGCTATAAACATATCTATACCTGCTCTATCACTCAGACAGGTGTCTAATGCTATAAACATATCTATACCTGCCCTATCACTCAGACAGGTGTCTAATGCTATAAACATATCTATACCTGCCCTATCACTCAGGCAGGTGTTTAATGCTATAAACATATCTATACCTGCCCTATCACTCAGACAGGTGTCTAATGCTATAAACATATCTATACCTGCCCTATCACTCAGGCAGGTGTCTAATGCTATAAACATTTCTATACCTGCCCTATCACTCAGGCAGGTGTCTAATGCTATAAACATTTCTATACCTACCCTATCACTCAGAGAGGTGCCTAATGCTATAACTCAGACAGGTGTCTAATGCTATAAACATCTCTATACATACCCTATCACTCAGACAGGTGTCTAATGCTAGAACTCAGACATGTGTCTAATGCTATGAATATCTCTATACCTACCCTATAACTCAGACAGGTGTCTAATGCTATAAACATCTCTATACATACCCTATCACTCAGACAGGTGTCTAATGCTAGAACTCAGACATGTGTCTAATGCTATGAATATCTCTATACCTACCCTATCACTCAGACAGGTGTCTAATGCTTTAAACATCTCTATAGATACCCTATCACTCAGACAGGTGTCTTAAGCTACAAATATCTATACCTACCCCATCTCTCTGACATTGGTCTAAAGCTACAAATATCTCTAAACCTACCTTATCACTCTGATAGGGGTCTAAAGCTACAAATATCTCTATACCTTCCCTATCACTCTGACAGGGGTCTAAAGCTACAAATATCTCTATATATACCCTGTCTGTCTGACAGGGGTCTAAAGCTTCAAATATCTCTATACCTACCCTTTCCCTCTAACAGAGGTCTAAAGTTACAAATATCTTCATACCTACCCTATCACTCAGACAGGGGTCTAGAGCTACAAATATCTCTATACCGACCCCATCACTTGGACCGGGGTCTAGAGCTACAAATATTTCAATACCTACCCTATCACTCTGACAGAGGTTTAAAGCTACAAATGTTAACTTTATGTATTATGCACTATTTGATAAATCTTTTGGGATAAATTAATTTCTGTATTTCATGGATTTTTTATCTATCATCTGTTTTACCACCATATCTCGTTATCCCCTCATTAACCAATCATATTTGGTTTTTAACTTAACAAAAAAGGATAGAGCCAGAGAGAGCCACCGTGGTACCTCTGCTTTCTATAGATCCTTGGAGTCATTGATTTATTCATTATTCATATCTAAAAATCATTCCCTGTCAAATGCCAGATGTTGCAGTCGTTTCAATAACCAGAACATTTGATATATATGTATTAAAATGGAACATGCCCCAGCTGTTACCCTACAGTAACCGGACACAAGAAGGATTAGTTGTAACCAAAAGCTATTCTGTTGCTGTAATCACTCAAACAGAAAACAGCCATTATAATCACAAAAATATAACGACAGGTTTCATTTTGGAAGGGCGACAATATAATCTCCTGATGGCAACTTTGACAATGTGCTGTGACAATAACATATCACATGTCATTATGTGACACACGACCGATATGACATTATCATGTGACCCGACATTAGCGTTGTCTTCATGATACCTGAATTATTGTGGTGTTGTCATCAATTGACCTGAATGTGTCGAGTCATTATCATCATTACACCTGAAAGGTCCTCATTTGACAGTGTGTGTGAAAGATTCTTGTTTGAATGTGTGTGGGGGAAAAAAACATATTTTTGACCCAATCATTTCATAGCTCCAAACCAAATTTTGACAAATTACCTACATCTAACTAGCGAAAAATTAAGATCTTGCATCTATTTCCGATGTTGGGCCCAACAAAATTGGTTTCCCTTCCTACAAGGATGCTTCTGAACAAATCTTGTCAACATCACTTTATCCCCAACAGATAACAAAGGATTTAAAATTGATTCTATAATTTTCCCTATTTAGGCCACATTTCTCTTTGTGCATTTTGTGACTTATCAAAAAAAAATCATTTGGCCTTAAAGCAAACATCCTGGATTGGGACAGTTGTGGTATGTTATGAATCATTAGCAAACTGGATGCACACTAGTTAGTTCCCTTTAATCACTATTCCAATCCACATGTAAAATGACAGGTTGTCACCTTGGATATGACTGTAATAATCTATCAGTTTCTATTCTAGTTCCTAATAAATCCTTCTGAAACTTTGATTGGTTTCCCATTAGTCTTTATTATGTGTTGTCCAATTTTGGACAAGGAAAAACAAAATTTGCATTGCTTTACTTAAGGCTTGAAGCAAAATTTCTGCCAAAAATTATGAAAATGACTATGAATCTTAATTCATTTTATTTTTGAGATATCTATTTCATATAATTTCAATTCATCCTGGAAAGGAAAGAAAACAGAATCTCTTGAAAATTAGATATGTGTAATGCCTGTGATTTTACAGTGTCAGTATCGTTTGTCAATGACTACAGCTACATGTATTGCAAGAATGTGACAAAGAGGCATCTCTCTGTACCGCCATATGAAGTAGCAATGTAGTAGGTAATTTTAGTGCTAATGTATACATGGAAACTTTTGTGCTGTATTGATTTTTTAATCTGCCAGGTACATGCAATGGTGCAATGTTGAACACTAACAAAAGAACTAAAGGCTTGTACAGTACTCAGATATCATTTATTTTCATCAAGTAATGTTGAGAGCTCATGGGTACAAGTTCATCATCTCTTTCATAGTAAATTGCATCCATTATAGTCTACAACGTACCATCCAACAAATAGCTGATAATGTCCACAGTCATTTTCATCTACCATCAAATTTCCAAATGGCCTACTCAGGAAGTCTGGATTAAAACAAGAAGCCCATGGGCGTTCACGGTCATCTGACAAAAAGCAAGCCAAACTCTAACAACAGTGAGTCTACTGTTAAAACAGTGGGCTTAATTCATTTGAATAAACTTGGTAGCCCTTCCTCCCAGCATCCTACAGGCCCAATATCAGCACCCTGAGCCTTTTGGTTACTGAGAAGAAGTCATTTACAGATTATAACATATTTGAACCCTGTGATCTTGAAAGTGGGTCAAGGTCATTCACTTGAACACATTTGGTAACAATTCCTCAAAGCATCCTACAGGCCCAATATCAGCACTCTAATCATTTTGGTTATTGAGAAGTCATTTGCATATTTTAACATATTTAACCCCTGTGACCTTGAAAGTGGGTCAAGGTCATTCATTTAAACAAACTTGGTAGCCTTTCCTCCAAGCATCCTACAGGCCCAATATCAGCACTCATGGACCCTTGCTTTTTGAGAAGTGGTTTGTATATTTTAATATAGTTGACCCCTGAGACCTTAAAAGTGGGTCAAGGTTATTAATTTGAACAAACTTTGTAGGGCTCCATGCCAGCATGCTATGGGCCAAGTATTAGCCCCCTAGGCCTTCTAGTATTTGAGAAGAAGTTTTTTGAATGAAAAGTTTACTGACGACACACAGGTCAGATGACCTAAAAATCCAATACATACAGGAATAGAAATTACAATGGAGAGTACTGTGAAAATAAGATATAATGAATACACTGTATCAACAATGACTTAATGGAATTAGCACCACAGATTGTGGTTTCATGGGTGTCTTGATTTAAACAAAAGCATAAATTTAATTGTTTTCCATTATTGACATCAATTAGCTAGTCAAGCAATAACACTCTTTAATGACCTAATCTGAAGCTACGTAAATCAGCTAAATCAAATGTCAACAACAATGCTCCGTCGATCCAAAACTCTGAATATATTCTAAACTTCATTCATGCATAAAAACATTTGTCCAGTTTTAAAAACCTGAGAAAAAGACTACAGGTATTTTGTGATGTATTACATCCAAACCTGGTAGACAAGATAGGTTACCAACCTACCACAAAAATTTATACAAATTATACAACACATTCTCTCTTACTCTCACAGTCAGGCTAAGTAATTTCCAGAGCAAATAACATGTTGTGAAGTGTTGATGGAGCAGAAACTGTGCGAATCATTTGTTACATTTTCAACTTTTTAACTAATACCTTTGTAACTTAAGTATAGATCCATTCAATCATAGTTATTCACCTTAAAACAAGGAATTCTTCTACTGTGCTTCATCTGTAATGGATGTAGGTGAAAAAATAACAAGGCATCAGAAGAAAAACAAATTCCTTGGTGGTTCCAACTTCATTTATGTGCAATAAAAAAAGGTCAAGTGTGTCAAGTTTAATCAAAATCCCTCCTGGAAAGAATTTGACAAGGATTTTCTAAAAGTGGTAACTGACCTTGGTCCTGTGAACCTGAAAACTTGTCTGCGATATCATGGTCCTTTAGATGAATATGAAGTTTGACCTCTCCAGGAATAAAGGCCATGGCCTTGACTCTACAACCCTGAAACTGAAACTTGTCTGTGATATCATAGTCCTTTTGAAGTCAGGATTGAAGTGACTTAACTATATCTTTATATCCCCTCTCTGACATTAGTTGCATGGGGATAATCAGACACATTTAATTGTTGTGTTTCAAAATTACAAACTCATAACATAGCAGTCTTAAATGCATAGAAAACTTGTGCACAAATATCTGCACATATTTTGATACAGACATTTTTCACGATCACAGATCGTTGCATTTTGTGGTAATAATCGTAACTCTATCACAGTATACATGAACTTATTTCCATCATTTGTTTTAAACATTTAAGTTTAATTGATTTTCATTATATTTATACACTAGGTTGTGAGTTTTCAGTGCAACTCTCACTTGATGACCCCTTCATGCTGGAGAAGCCACAGCTTCATCTTGTTCTTGTTGCCACCACTGTAGTTGCCCACACCACCTCCTTCAGGTAAAACACGGTGACATGGTATGATGAGCTGTATGGGATTGGCCTTCATTGCTGCACCCACAGCCCGACAAGCCTTTATGTTTCCACTCAATTTTGCCAGCTGAGTATAAGAAACACTCTGTCCAAACTTCACCTTTTCTGGCAGTGTCTTCCACACCTTCTCTGTGAAAGACCCTGGAATCGTAACAGTATTTGAAATTGACTTTTCTGACAAAAATTGATAGAAATATTAGTGTAACATGAATGCGATCGCACACACATTGCATATTAATGTATTGCAGTAGGGATGACAAGGAATCTAAACAGTCATAAAAGGGATCTGATAGCAAAATTGCCAAAGGTAATGCCAAACTAAGAAAAATCATCTTTACTGAGTAATGATAAACAGCACAAACAGAAACAAATGAACAGATTCTGTATTGAAATGAGTCATTATATTACCAGAAGTTTACTAATGGTGACTTTGATAGTTGTAGGAAATGGTCAACCTGTTTTAAGTAAATGAGAGCTTTCTTAAAACAACTGTAGATTCAAGTGATGCTGAACGAGAGGACCAATGAAAATGAATATTTTGCCTATTCTGAAGCATACAAAGAAGATATTGTCTGACAATTAATTTGAACAAACTTGGTAGCCCTTCATCCAAGCATGCTACAGGCCAAATATTAGCACCTTGGACCCTTTGTTTATTGAGAAGTCATCTCAGAATTTCATTAAACTTAACACCAGTGTCCTTGAAAGTGGGTAAAGGTCAATCATTTGAAAATACTGGGGATTCAACAATTACACAATTGATTCCTCTTATCCCTAACATGTTTCAGACCAAAGTTGGGGTTTCCATCATTGCTAATTTCTCACAGAGGTCAGCCTAAAGATTTTTTTCACCCTTTAAGACAACTCACCGCTACATTGCTTTGTGCCATCAAAGTTAGTTTCCTTGGCTTTACATTTAATCCAAATTAATTGATGAATCACTTACCTAATTATCTAATTACATAACTAAATTACTAAACTATGAACATCGATTGTCACAAAACAAATAAAAAAATTATTATCCACTTTAACGAAAATTTGAACCATAAACTAAATACCAAAATACTAAAACATTAAGTATACCACTGATATTATTTATTTTCTAAGAATTTTGTGAAAAAGTATATAGTTATATGTGTAAACATTTTATTTCAGTTCACTTTTCAATCCAAAACAGATTTTCCCCTTTTGCTCATTTTTCCTTAAAAATAGCAATATTGTCAATCAATCTGATTACTTTGCACAAAACTAATAATTACAATTTATTTTATACTGTTTTAAGATGATTTTTAGCACATAATTTCACCCCTTCACCCAAAATGCTTCAGAACAAATTAAGATAGAATCCTGTAATTCCTACAGAAGAAAGAGGATTTTAAAGAACTTGCTAGATTTTCTCTTTAAGGACCTCACTCTCGGGCCCAAGATTTCTGTAGATAATAGAAACAAAGTAAGGAAAATTACCATCTTGCACAATCTTCAGGACAAACAATACTGACCTTCCTTAAACACTGATGCACATATTGAGGGTGACACCTGGCATTTAGGCTGTCCCTTGAAGTAGTCCCTTAGCCAGTCTACACCCAGTAAAAGGGGCTTGTATGTGTATCCATTGTCCTGGTATTTCTGGGACATCACCTTCACCTCAATACTGCAACAATTGTACAGAGTACATTAATCAAGCCACTGTCGTAAATATACAAGCTCAGTACTACAAAGGTTACTGTGAAGTGTAAGCATACAGGGATCACTACACAGTATGCTTCATCTGGAGTTATCCCTCTTGAACAGCCTGTATTACTCAAGTCAGTTCAAGCAATACAAGACTAGGAATGGAAGTATGTTTTTTTTTTCAAATACACTCACAGGCTAAGAGAAGATAATTGAATTGCTATTATAAACTGTGAGTTCTTGGAAAAAACCAACAATCTACACAACCCCAAAGTGCATGAACAAAGGTTTCATTTTCAGTTTCACAATGGAAACAAAATGGACAAAAATCAGCCAGACATGTTTTATATATAAATGTGCTAGTTGTCAAAATGCAATGATTAATTCTAAATTGAAGCCATTGTAACTTTGTATTTCTACTAATTATGAATGATAGTATATGTATTTCTCTCTATTTATCTTTGTCTCAATAAATAATTCTGAATTAATTGGGAAAAAAAAGTATTTTTATGGAAATAATGACCCTTTATATATAATAAAATTTGTATTTATGTGTAATGTCAAAAAGTCATAAAAACTAAAAAAAAAAAAAAAAAAAAAAAAGCCTCCACTACCGTGATTAAATCATTTACTATGATTACACCATATATATATCCTATACCATTCACTGAAACTATATATTCTTGTTTTCAATCTGTATTTGTTTAATGGCTTCACTTGTATACAGTCAAACTTCTATTAATCGACAATATTGCATTGACATTACAGGAAAGTTTTTAATATGAAAATAGTCTGTCAATGAAAATGTTTATTATTTGTTGAAAACATGTAATATCTGCATTTGATTTGGTGTCTTTTTATTGCTCTGAACAAATGATGATGCTACAAATTCATTATAATTGTCGATGTCTGAAAACAATTTATCAGAAACTAGATATCTTCCAAACTACAAATTCTCAAAATGGAGTATCTGGTAAAGTTTGTCACCATATTGGATGAAGACATGGTTCCAGCCTATTCTTTACTGCAAAACAAAACTGTGCCATTCAGACCATATAAACAAAAGTGCCCCTGGTTTACTTTTGAATGAATACATTTCAGTTACCAAATCTTCTGTCTATAATCAGGATGACCTTAACCTATGATTTTCAGACTCTTGACCTTTACTTCAAGGTTCACTTGACCCTTGACTTTCAGACTTGTAAATAAATTATGAAGTGAAGCATGGAAAGAAAATTGAGTTTGATGGGCACCTTTCCTTACGCTGAAACTGATGTTCTATATATAGATAGTGCCTTTATTACATGTCCTTCAAACAGTTAAATATATATATATACCGTATAAAACCAGAGACGTATATAACACGTGTTATATACGTCTCTGATAAAACAGACTAGTTGTCACCTTTTGTCAGGTTTGAATGTTTCATCTGTTTCATCTGTCTGTGACATGTAGTGTAATCCACGAGGACAGCTCACCAGCTCCATAATACCCACAGGTGTGCTCACATGGTAGGTGTTGGTAGGGCCATGATGACAGGATGACCCTGTACATCTCTGTCTTTTGGATTTGACAGACATTTTATCATCCAATCAGAAAATTCTAAAATAAATAAAAGACAAAAAATCATTGTATTAGTTTCATTTTTTATGTATGTACTGCATGTACCAATATGTTTATTTCTGAATAAAACTATATTTGTAAAACAAAACAAAAAAATTGTATTAATTTGTTCTTCATTTCTAGCTTTGAAATATACAAAGTACCAATTATTATTTCAATACTGATGATTCTCGATATGAGTGTGTTTATAGGGTAGCTATTAGGGTGATCAACATGATGATTTCCTAACACATTTATAGTGATAGGCCTTTAATAAAGACCAGCTGGTAGTCCTGCAATGGGAGCTAGTTGGTACATGTACTTGTTCTGGTCCATCACTTACACACTAAGATTACATAGTAGGAGCAATAAAGATGTTTTTTTTTTGTTTTTGTTAACCTTCAATGACTTATTGAGGAGCATAAAAACATGTATATGTTGGTCCATCTAAATCACACCCAATTCAGTATATACATAATGTATATATTTTAGAGAGAAGTTTTCCTAAGGTAACAAGCGAATAATCAAAGGTCTTTCACCTAAACGTGATAGGTAACATTGAGTATTTTTCTGTCTAAATATTCAATGTCTAATGGTATAGATACCCTTTGTTACTGAAATTAACCCAATAATTTGATGTTAGGTTTTAAAAGTAGCCCTGCCCTATACCCCAAGATTAAATTTTGCAAAGTTAGCATGTGAAGATTTTGGTGGGGTTGGTTGGAGGCTCTGAAAACATCGTGCCCTCTCCACATTTAAGTAGGGCACAACCACACAAATGGATAATAGTCCTGCAATTGAGAGGTAGTTACTACTTGGAGTAAATTATCAGGTAGTTACTCAAATGCAGGGTCATTTTGAAATAGAAACACATAAAGCTCTTTTAAAAACTTGTAACAAATGCATGTGCAGGGTTGTGCCCAACCTGCCAATGCAAACTGCCAACATGGAACTAATCTTGCAATAAAATTGGCAGCTTTTAATATGCCGTGGCACACTACTGATATATTATCAACATGGGTTGCAATAAATACCACAAAACTGTGCATCATATGCGACCTGGCCTATAGTTCGCCACTTCAGGTATGGATATTTTACTAAAAAAAAAAACGCTGAAATCAATTTAAACTGATCTTTTTTTTTAATGTTTTGCCCAAGTCACATTTATTTAGTCATGAAACATCATATAACTTCAAAAATTAAAAACATATTTGCATATGGGAAAGTACAAAAACAGATGTAGATGTGATAGTAGTTACTATGGTGGCACCAGTTACGTCAAGTTTCAAGGTAGCCAACACTTTCAGTAAACATTTGTTTAAACAAAACTATTCATTATGTCATAAATGAATGCAACTTTTGATATCAAAAAAAGTTACTGTCGAAAGAATTTCAGCTATTGATATCAACAAACCCATATCCAAATCTGCCAGTTTGTACACGATACAAAAATTTGTGGTTTTCTCTAGCCTGCATATAAGCTAGTCTGGAGGGTTCTGACTATCTATCTATGACTAAGACAAAATAAAACTGCAGATCAGATAGTCAGAACCCTTCAAACTATAGAAAGATCTACCGACTCCTGCCCTTTTATAGAATGGTGACTTATTCAAGGAATAGTGTAACACACTTCTCAGCTGCAGGCCTGTGTATAAACGACTGGAATAGTTTGAAGGATTCCGACTCTGTCCGCGATTTATTTTATCCTGCAACTGCGCTGCCATTGTAGAAATACACCTGCCACATATATATTTTTCAGTGATGTAAAACAATTGTATTTGAGCATGTGCAGAATTATTTTCTGAATTTACCTTAAAATGACGTTTAACAATACAAATACTGTTGAAATACGCGATTTTATGTCGTATTGAAAGTTTATTTACGAAAAATTCATAAATTGCTGTCAAATTCGTTGAAGTTTGTAACTATATATCTTTACGGGGCAATTATTATGGCGTATGTCATCAGGCAAAATTCACCTAATCTCAACGTTAGGTAAACAAGAATTGACCGACAAAGCAATTGTTGAAGTTTTGATGGTCTGATTTTCAATCTGACCCTACATTCTGTTTTTAAGTAGATTGTCAGAACCGTTCGTACTAGAATTGGAATAACAACTGCGTGTAATTCATTACGTAAAGATATACATAACAACAAACCCTATGGTCACGGTGATTACTTCGGACACCAGAACGCTTTTCAACGTTTTAGTGACACATTTTCTTTTTTTCCTGTATACGCCATGTTATCCATTCAACCTCAACATTGACAAACATTCCCGCGGTTTTGCAATGGGTAAGAGTTAGTGTTCGTGGATATACATGTAATTCTAATATATTGTTGCCGGACAGAAACCCCGGTTTTATTTCACCATTCCGACCGATGTTAAATGTTGTAGTAAAAAATTGATCAAAATTCGAACGATGTAACAAAAAACACAGCTGGCAAAAATTGAGACACCATATACCTAGAGGCAGAGACGTAAATCTCATCGTGTACGAACGCAAAGCTTGTTCTTTTTCGTTTAGATATAACTATTTTTTTCCGTAACCAAAAAGCGTAAGGATATGAAAAAAAAATCAAATTAGACTTAGTGAACAATGGTTGAAAGTTAAAAGTATGAAAACATGTTTGTCTCCTTTCCCTTGCCTAATGTATATGTTATCAGATACGTATACATCATATATATATATGTCTCTGATGTAATATAGTTTGGTTTTTAATATAATAACATTTAATGTTGAGCACTTAGATTGTAATTCAATGAAAATAGAATGCGGGAAAGTTATCTTTCTTGTGCACTCAAAACTGCAAAATGTGAAGCTACTTTTGATACGTAAACCATGGTAAAAGGGTCTGGACAGACCGGCCTATGTGTTGTGCATTTGCTTTTATGATCTCAAGAAACGGTAATGCCATATTTGATAAAATACTTCAAATTTGACTTTTGATTTCTGTATTTCAAAACACAATAATTCTATTTTCATGTAGGTGTTGTGTAGATATGTGATGACTGATATAGACAGATTCGTGAAAATTATGTCAAAATTGTACCAAACGGGGCAGTACACGATGGCTATTCAAATATATATGGATTTTGCTCTTTTATACAACATATAATGCTTGATAGGTCCTCCTTTTATTGTACAAATAATCTTATTTTCAAGGGGTAAACTCTACATAGAGAACACATTTTCAGTGTAAAATGGTGTATTACGATTCCGGATTTTCCGCTTTGCTCCGTCGGTTAATCTAAAATTATACATTACAAGAAAAAAGAAAAAATGGCGGACAGGAAGTCAAACTCAAAAGAAAAACAATGTCAAAACTTCGTAAGGATTGATCTAAAGTACTCATACATGGTCACAGAATGACCGAAAGTATTCCAGGTGGTAGACAAAGATCATCATCCGTCGGTAATGTATTTGAAGAAGAGAACGATGACGATGGATTTGATCCACTTTCAGACCGACATCGTAAGTTTAGTCAAAGCTTGCATTTGGACAGTATAAAAGCAAAAAACGGTATCGAACCAGTTGGACAAATCTGTGAGGATACCAATAACTTCGCAACACTTCCTACAAAATCAAAACGTCGCACACGACCTTCTTTCAAGTCTGTAAAGAATTTGATGGGCAGGCTTATGAATAGTTCGAGTACATGGGCAGCAAATCAAAGGGAAGATGACAGCAGGATGGGAGCAAAAGGAGGGATGACACAAAGTTCGAGACAGCGGGACGACCGATCTTCCGAAAATTCATATACAGAATCTACCTCGCGTCCCCTTATTACCAAATCGACGAAAAACTTACCGGATCTCTCGCCTTTTGGTGACGAAGTACCTGGCACGATTGGAATACACAATCATGGCAACACTTGTTTTATGAACGCAATTCTCCAGTGCTTAAACAACACTGACAGCTTTGTTGAGTACTTCATCAGACAATTACATAAGGATGATCAGAGATCGTCTACAAGAAGACTTGGATTTCGTAATGCTCACAATGTAACTGAACAACTTGGAGTTCTCCTCAATAGTCTCTGGACAAATAGATATAACCATGATGTGTCTGATAATTTTAAAACAGTTGTTGGGAAATACAACAGCCAGTATAAAGGGACATCACAACATGATGCCCAGGAATTCCTTCTCTGGTTATTAGACAGAATAAATGAAGAGGCTAATGTAAATAGCAAGAAAAAAACCAAACAGGTATGATTATGGTCATTTTATATGGATGCCATTAAAGTTATACATGCATGATCTCTATCATATTAAATTTTAATGTGCAACCTTGTCGGAGTACACTTGCTGTATTCGGCAGTGACGGAAAACAACTGTGTTTTAGTATGTGTGTAAATTTGATGGAATTACTCTTTGAATCTACTCAAAAATTATGTTTGACAATATAAATAACTGTTGAAATAAGTGATTTTAAATACTGTAATGTACAAGTTTATTTATAAAAATTCATAAAATCGCTGTCATATCCGTTGAAGTTTGGAACTACATTTCTGTGCGGAGCAATTATTTTGGCAGATATAAATGTCATCAGAAAAAATTCAGCAAAATGTCAACAAGTAAACAAAGATTTAACAACAAAGTGTAGAAGGTTTGATAATGTTGCAGGATAAGTATAATATATGGTCAGTGTCTTAAAATGTAAGCTGCATTTAGACTCAAAGACAGACAAATGTGCATGAGCCACTTTTGTCTTTCTGTACTTTCGCCAAAATATAGCTTATATTTTAAGTCACCGACAATGTATTCTTTCTATATGGTTGGTTTATTCTGTACCATTGCCATATCACTTGCAGAGTTGTAAAAAGGAGAAAGCAACCTAACAGACTACATTCTGTGTACTGGCTGTTGCTTCAATTTGTTAGCGTTCTAAGTATGTAAAAACAAAAATAAGAGACCATTGGGTTGTTCGATAAATTCCCTTATGGAAGAAGGAAGAATATAAGAGGGTGCTATAATGTGGGTGATTTTTTGTTTGTTTGTCTGCATTCTATTTTCTGGGGTAAGAATATCAGATATCAAACTTTTTAATGTCTGGTTTATATGTAATAAGGACAAGAGGAACTCAGGTTAGCAAAGCTTGATTGATACATAAAGCCTTTATAAAGTTTTCACAAACAGTTCAACAATATTTAGTTTGGCTTTAAGTCAATTATGTTTTTGTATAAACTACAAATAGCATTCCAAGCAGTTTTGGTATCTTAATGTTTTATATCAATTTTCTTGGAAATGATATAGTTGAAAGATGTATATGTATTTTAAGAAAGTAAAACAAAATTATAGTATATCAACACATGTATATAAATTTATCACATTTTGTATTACAAAATGACAATTCAAGCTGAATAGTATGTATCTTTGATTTTTTTTGTGTGTTTTACTGTTAGATCTCGGGGAGGAAACAGAGTGATGAAGAAGCAGCTGAAGAGGTTCTGTCTACAAACAATGGGTGTCCACTGTATAATATGTTCCAAGCCCTGTTTCGCTCATCACTTCAGTGTCCTAACTGTGGCAAACAGAGCAACACATTTGAGAACTACCTTTGTTTGTCTCTACCTCTACCTAACAAAGTCATGCGTCCTATATACATCATTGTTGTGGAGTCAATAGAAGCAAACAAACCACCGAAGCAGACCAAGATAGGGTTACGACTCAATGCATATGGCTGTGTAAAAGATTTGCGGCAAGAAATTTCAAGCTGGACTAAGATAAAAGAAAAATATGTATGTTAGCTTGTTCATTTAAGAATCAGAATGTGTAGAGCAAGTGGTTAAGATGTAGATATATCAGATCAAATACTACAGTGGCATGTGCATTACATAGTATACAACGATATGATTTAATAAAATAATGCAAGCAATATTTATATAAATCTAGAACCAACTGTTGCATACAGCTGTTCCAAATAGACCTTATAGACACCTTCAACTTTTCCATGCAGAATAGATATCTTCTTACCTACTTCTAATAGATGTTGCAACACATACATACATAATGAAAGTTTTCAAACATCAAAATTGCAATTATAATGATCAATTAAATGTTTTACAGTATGAAATTTTATATTCAAATGCAAACTGTTTATTCAAATTAGGGAAGATTAATACATAAACAGTAAGAAGTACATCTTTTTTTCCATGTTTTACTATTTATTTATTTACAGATAGTAGTTATTGTTTAAAACAAATCACTGATGTGCAAAATCTATATACTCATGCATCATAATGTCTGTGTCATAATAAGTCACCTGATGATAACTGGAGCTTTCATACCAGATGTGCCACATGATGTAATGGATGATAGTCTTGATTTATTGCATATTATATCCCATGTTGCGCTTACACTTTCTCTTGATTACTAAATATAAAAATTATGTACTATCTTAGAATGAAATATATATAATATATACTGTTATATAGGTACATATACTAGCTTTAGAATGTTATTTCTAATGTACATGAATTGTTTTGAATTTTTCAGTTGGTGTTATGTCAAATCTATGACAACGGGTTTAGAAGTTACTACAAAGATAACCAGCCACTTACAGACATTGCGGAGTCAGAGACTATATATGCTGTAGAGATGTGCTGTGTTGCAGGGTCCCCTACAGGGGAGGGACAACAGCAGTTTGAACAGTCTTATATTTCAGTATTACTGATTCACACACAACGGGAGTCTAATCCTACCAAATAGTAAGTCTTCATTTGTCTTTACCCTCAGAAACTTATAGATTATGACAGATTTGTCAATAGTGTAAAGCAGATCAATTTGTGAAAGTATATATTTTTATACCACTTGCCTTGAAGTGGGTATGTAGTGATCACAGAGCCTGGATACAAGACATCTTTGGAACTCAACACATTCCGTTCATACGTAGATGTACTTTTATATTGAAGTGTATTTATATGAGGGTAAATACATACAACTTGATGTATGTTAGCACTCAAAATACAATAAAAAAGAAACATTTGAATGAAAACCATTTTCTAACTTTAAGATCAGCAGTGAGTTAAGAAGCATTAGATGGTGCAATGTTGGTGTCATTGACAATGCAAACAAGAACAAAATGGCTCCAAGATTGATTAAATTGATATTTATTTTTTGTATTTACAAAGAAGATGTAACGTATGCATGATGTTAGATATCTGAAATATCTCTCTTCAAAAACCATGTTTATAGAAGACTTTAGGGATGTAAGAACACTTCACATATTTACAACCAGTATAAGTAATAAGACATTATACTCTTACAGAAACAAGCTTCATCTAGAGTCTATGCAATGCAAGTGTAGATGTACTTTTTATATTTTAATGTTTGACATATGAGGAGGTCTTGGTGATCATTGATCAAGGTTCCATACCCAAGGAATAGCCCAAACAAACAACAGTCTGAGGAATAAACAAGAAAAGGCACATTTGCCAAATTAACAGGATGATAGTAATAATAGCATTTTGTCCTATGTCTCTTTGTTCCATTATTTTTATCTCCCTTTCTCTGTTATTTCTAAAATTTAATCAGATTTACAATGTTTGGATATTATGGAACTTTACAATGTGACTGGTATAAGCCAAAGATACGACTGCTTAGTTAGATATGGGGACTTGTGTAAGGTTCCCTGTTGAAATCAGGGTCTACTTCAAATTAGAGAAAATTCAAAATTATAATAACTGAATCTGATTGACTGAAAGTGACTTTGTTTAGCTTGTGATGTAGATATTAAAGCTTTACTTTTACAAGATATTGATGTTTTCCTTTCCAGTTTGAGATTTTGTGCACCACAGATTCTGAGAATCCCTCGAGATGTTGATAATCGTGGACTCCAAAAAGAAATCCTGACAAACCTTGGTCCTTGTGTCAGAGAAGGACTTGTTGGTCAAGTAAATAGCTTATAAGGAAGACAATTAATTGGATGATATAAAATCCCTTTTCATAAATATCACTATACTTGGATGACTTCCTCCTGAATTACTAAAATTCAGTAATTTACAGATCATTCAACATAAATAAAGCTTAACAGTTTGGTTTGAACTAAAAGTTAGTCACTAGTAAAATGCCTTTATTATTTCCCACCATTCTGCAATGGTTAAGTGATGTAGTGGATACATGAGTGAAGGGCTTAATCAGTTTGAATATTTCCTTTGGCTTTCACAGAAGTTGGATACACTGTTTCGGTTGAGATTGGTCACTGGCAGTGGTGGACGTGATTATCTCCCCCTCGATGTAGAAATGCCTTTGTATATCCAAAATGTTGACAGGTAGGTAAAACGTTATCCCTCATTTCAGTTTTAACATTATGTCTTAACAGGAACATTCTCATCCCATGAATTTGATGTGTATGTAGCACTACAGTAAATATGATTATTAAGTAATCTCTGAAGAGATAACTTGGAAATCTGTTTGTCTATAGAGAACGTACCACAAGAAAAAGCAATACAAACATGAACATAGAAAGGCAATTTATCTAAACTGTATCAAACTTAAATGTCTTTCAGATATTTCCTGATAAATATCACATTTCTGATCACACTTTACCAAACATCAGCATTTACTTGTATGAGGTACATTCTGGTCCAGATCTTATGGTAGATGACATATTCATCATATAGCATTATGCAATCCTTTTTTGAAGTTATATTTAAGGTACTTATGACACCCTTAGGAAAAACTTTGTTTGTGTTGAAATGCATTTTGTGAGGTCATCTTACCCCAAGGGTCAGGATGACTTATAGTCATTATGTATTTTCCATCATCATACACAATGTGTTAACTTTTCACATTTTGAACTTCTTTTATAGTTCCACAATTGGGATCAAGCACAATTTTGTCTGACCAAATGTTGTTATTTTGTGGGTCAGTCTGAAATCTAGTTAGGCCTTCCTTTTTTAAAAAAAACTGGTACCATCGATCTCAAAATTAGTTTGAATATTAAAGAAAGGAATCCAACAATTTAAGTTATTTTTAACCCACATCAAAACTATCAATATTACAGCCATAGCAGCCATTTTGTTATAAGATTGAATATAAATCATTGCTTTCTGGAACAAATCCCATTCTAAACTTCTCTAGTTCTACTATTAGGATTCACCTCAGATTTGAAAGGATCCTGAGATGGTCCTGATAATGTGTTTTCAGTTCTCTCAAAAATAAAGTACCGCTATCTTTTCCAAAAACATACTTAGAATTTTTTTCCAGTTCCACTGGTGCCATTGAGTTTAGAATAATAAAAACTGAAATGAACAGTGTTGTTGGTTTTTTAACCTTGAACTGCTGAAATATGCAGAATTGGTTTAATCTTTGAATAAGTGTTCACACTACTGCTTATGTATCATTAGTAGATCTTTACTGTCAAATGACCATTTAAGACCCATAGGCCTCATGTGTATTTAGTGAGCCTTCATATTTACCTGATTGTTTGTAAAAGTTGCTTAACAAAAGACATTATTTTGTTACCTGATCATGTTATAAATCGAGAATACTTTTCAGAATATGAAATACAGTGTTATTTACAAGATCAAGTGTTCTTTATAGATATGTAACTTAATCATTTGTGTTTTAGGGCTTTGTCAAACTTTAGTCCAGAAAATGGTCCTACCCACATAAGACTTGTTGCTGAATGGGATCCTGCTGTCAAAAAGAAGTAAGGCAAAAAATGCACTGTACTTTTTTTATTAAAAAATATTGAAATATGTCAACTGACAGTTGTCGTTGTGATGACATTTATAAATTCCATATCAGATAGAAAGGTTGTATTCCTTTAATGAATTAAGGGTACAATGATAATTATATTGATATAGCCAATGTATTAATGGGAATACCATGATTTTAATTAAGATTGTTTAAGTTGTTTGCTTGGTCAGTGGGGTCAATGAAATAGTCTTCTGAAGGATACAGCAAATAATATATAGGATGCAGTTTCTAGTGAAAAGGTTAAGTTAGTGGATTATTAAAACATATTTATGTATCACAGTTCAATCAGGTTTTACATCAATGGTGAGAATTTTTCTGTTCTTATACTAACAATTCTGACATGTCTGAATCATATTACATCCAAACTGAATGTATTGTAGAGTGATTGTCCATGATAAGGAAACTGTAGATGAACACTCGTCATATCGTCAAGTTCGCCAGCACCAACAACCAGAGCCAGTCTCCCTTGACGAATGTCTTAATCTCTTCACGAAACAGGAAAAGGTCGGTGGCAGCTGGTCCCCCTTGAACAAAACTGTTTATTTAAATATTACAATTTGCTATGTTGAACATCATACATTTGTACTAACAATTGTGTGGCTGTATTTAAAGTTTTAGTATTCAAGAACAAATGAAACAAGGTAAATGTTTAAGTCTGGCACTATGAATTCTGAGTTGCTGTGAAGTTGTTATTCTCTGATTAATGTTACAAATGTTATCAAGTATGTAACGTGTTTTGTAAATTATGTGTCTTTCTGAAGAAAAGTGTTGGAGTTTTCGTATAGGATAATGTATTCATTTTGGACTTGAAACAAATGCTGTGATTTTATGCTTCCTACATTAATTTTGGGAGAGTTGGGCAAATACCATTACCCATTTCATATGTCTTGTCTTCTTCTGAATCATTGTCATATCTTGAGAACCTCTGTACATATTTGGTTCCTATTTACCCCATATTATCATTACCTCAAGTTCTACACCTGGTCAGAGTTTAATTTACATAGGAGCAAGGGGAATTATGTCTTGTAACTATTTTCTAAATTTTGTCCAGAAAAGCTGTAAAATGCATCTAAGTTTTACTGTTGTCACATTTTTTAAGGATATTTTTGGACACAAAATCAGCAAAAGTCAGCAGAGTTAGGAAAAGGACTTCAGGATAAACTTCAGAAGAATTGAAAAACAGTTTATGCATTGGTTCTAACTAATTGGATTTGAAAATATGTATGTTTTTTATTTATATGTATGCCTGTTTTTCTTTAGCTGACTGGGGATGATGCATGGCTCTGCCCTCACTGTCAGAAACAGCAGCAAGGCACAATGAAGACACTGGGGCTGTGGTCTCTGCCAGATACTCTAGTCATTCACCTGAAACGTTTCAGACAGGTTTGTACTTAATACTGTAAACATGCTACAAGACAGATATGTAAGTTGTACTGTAAACATTATACACATCAGATGTGTACTCATTGCTGTAAACACTGTACATAACAGGTTTATGTTCATTTACGGTTAAATCATATAGATTGATTTCCTCAAAGGATCTTACTTTCTGTATTGTTCACCCCCTGGCAACGATGTTAGGGAGACAAGATTATACTGGAATCAGGTTGTCTGTCCATCTGTTAATGCAACTGGCTACTCCTCTGAAGATTCTCAATTTATTTCAATGATAATTCCTGGCTATAATTCTGATACAAATGATTATAATCTATATCAGGTGGAGTTATCTCCCCTCCTTGGACCACTTATTCCCCTTTTGGAACTCAACAATGTACCAGCTACTCCTAAACTACTGTAAATTGATTATATATATTCCAAGTCATCAAAATTAAAAACCATTTTATTATTCGACAAATAACTTTGTGGCTGGATGGAGTGGGGTATATAAGTTGGCCCTGGACTACAGTTCAGTATGTTAATGTTAAGTTTTTTACTGAATACTTCCTAAGGTTATAAGAATTTACAGAAATTTTATGTGGCAGCTAGTTTCCAGAGCTTTTGTAAGAGATGCATTTTCCTATTCATTATTTATTGGAGGAAGGTTCTGTTCATGTAATATCTTGAAAGTAAGTTTAAGTTTGTAATACATTTCATTTGTTGTAACTTGATTTGTAGGTTGGTTTGCAGCGAAGCAAATTGGAGTCTCTCATTGACTTTCCAGTGAATAGTTTGGACATGAGTAAACATATCCTGCGGCCAAATGGTGAATGTGACCTTCAGAAAGTCACCATGAATATGACGCCACAACAGCAACGGCTCCATCAGGGGAAGCATCGTGACAACATGATTTACGACCTCCATGGCGTTTGTAACCATGATGGTAGCATGCTCGGTGGCCATTACACAGGTGAGAAAAATCTATTGGAATTTCAATGAGAAGCTGTTTACAGGTGTAGTTTCACCTGTGATATATGATGTCTGTACGTACTGATTATTATAAGCCACACCGGTATAAAAGCTACAGAGCCAGTTTAAGTGATTTTTTATTCTATTTGATCCATGTATAAGCCGCACTGGAATATATCGCACCCGTTCTTATGAAGTGGTTACCGTTATGTTGAAAAAATGTAGTCGTCAATTGTAACCTTGAAGGTGTTTTATGTAGTGGTCAAATACTTCTAATAAAATTTGAATAAGAGTAAGTTGTTTTATGTTTTTTAATATGCTATTAACGTCAACAGCTATGGATGTTGTAATAAAAAATATTCTCTAATGTTTTATTTCAGCATTTTGTAAAAATCCATTGGATGGTGAATGGTACAAATACAATGACTCCAAAGTAACCGCCATTTCGGTTTCTGCAGTACAGACCTCTGCTGCCTATCTGTTGTTTTATCAGCGCCGAGGTTTCTCATCTGTAGCGGTTCAGGATCTTTGTGATGGGTCCCACTGGATCTATAGACTTTACCCTCGGGAAAAAGTGTCAAATCAGCCTAAGGGCTTCCCAGCAACTGACGTTGACAAGAGCAGGAGGCAGCCTACAAATTTTGATCAGGCAGCAAGACAGAGTTCTGCAAAATTAGTTCGTGATTCAGAGAACAGGAAGTCTGCGTCTCACTTAGAGAAAACATTACGCCCTGCAACTAGTTCCAATGTGAATAATACCTTCTCACAAGGTGTGGATATTACAGACAATCATAGACTTAAACATGATGTCAATTTACGAGTGGATATTGATCAAGCTCATAATAGAATTAATGATAATGATAGGAAACTTCAGGAGAAAAGATTGTCACCTCATGGACGAGATGTTAATTCTGTACCAGAAAAACTCAGAGTGGCCATGCCTCCTGCCCGCCCATTGTCACATCCAAGCTTTGTCAATAATAAAACCTCTCATAAGAGTGTAGAGTCCTCAAACGTTACTTTAAATGGCAATAAATCAAGTATGCATCGAACTGCAGACCAAAGGGTCGCTGTTTCTGGGTCATCAAATTCTGAGGATAAACACTCCTCCACGTCTTCTCCATCAAGTCCTACACGAACTAATATTGTGTCTGACAAGTCACATGAGATTGTGAAGGTAAACAACAATCGCCCACCGCCAATTCCTAACAGGAATGAATCCTTGCCATCCAAAAGAGGTAAAATTTCAACGGATCAGCCGGACTCAAGTACAGTCCGGTCAAGTCCAAGTAAAACACAGCCAAGCTTTGCCACCCCTCAGCAGAACCGCCATCAAGTATCACCCTCTAATGCTGTTGTTTCCAAACAGGCCTGGTCAACGCCACAGCCTGTAAAGAAGCAGATATCTGTTGTTTCAAATGGTTGCTCAGATGATCTTGATTATCATGAGAAACAGCCAGTACGCCCACCTCCACCAGTGTTGAGGCCCACACCTGCTCCACAGACTCCTCCCACTAGTTCATCAAGGCCCTCTGGAAAGGAACAGAGGTCACAGGATTTTTCAGATTACACCAAGAAGAAGTTGAATGGTAAGGCATACTTCAATATGACAATAGATGTGTAAGTTCCTCTTGATCCCTAGTTGTGCCTGTTTGATTTTGACTTTGAAAGTTTATCACTATTTTTTTAGAAATCAGCATAGATCTGTCTCAAATTTCATATGTAGGTTCCCTTTGGTCTCTAGTTGTGCCGGTTTGATTTTGGGCTGATCAGGGGAAAAACAGGTGACCATCTCAGATTTGGCAGTTAAAGATTATCATTGCTATTTCTGCATAGGAATGTTCAAATCTCTTATCAGTATGGGCAAAAACAGAGAAGAGAAAAGAAGGGAAAAGACCTAACTTTCAAAGAGCAAATAAAGATCAAACAATGATGGATTCCAAGATCCCTCTGGGATCTCGTGTATATAAACACCAGGTCCTAGCCCCCTGAGGTGGGAGGGATGGGGCCCAAAAATGAGAAAATTTGCGAGTTGTTTATTCAAATTCCTTCTTTTTAAAAATGATTGGATTTTGCCCAAAAGTGGTCTGAAACATTCTTGTGTGAAAGGAATCTAATTGTATAACAATGAGTCTGACATCAGAGATGTGGGGCCCTATAGAGGAAATGCAAGTGCTTAAAAATCCTTCCTCCATACCATAATATTGTCCCAGTTTGGTTTGAAGCAATATTTATGAATGGTGAACATGACATTAGTTTGACCACAAGGCAGGGAAATTATTTCAGAAATTGTCATTTGTCATATTTGAAATTCTTTGTTAAATAACTAAATTGTTGAATTAACCATGCAGACCCCTTGTGTTTCTTGTTTGGGATGGGTAAAATAAACCTCATTCCTTTTCAATCATGTTTTAGGAAAAATCTCAAAAAAGGTCATATAAGACAAATTTAACTGTTTATTTGCATTAATAATAGTGTTAATGATAAACTTTAACAGTGTATTACTGTAAATAATAAACTTTTACAAAATATTAGCTTTAATGATCATTTTTTTTTCATGGTACAATTACCTTTAATAACCAATTATTGGTGTTAATGATAAACTTTCAAAGTATATTGGCATTAATTGTTCAATTTTTATAGTATATTATTATCAATAATTAACTTTATAATTAACAGTATTAGTATTAGTGATAAACTTTTATACTAAATTAGCAATAATGATCAACCTTTACACTATATTAGCATTAATGATCAACCTTTACACTATATCAGCATTAATGACCAACCTTTACACTATATCAGCATTAATGACCAACCTTTACACTATATCAGCATTAATGACCAACCTTTACACTATATCAGCATTAATGATCAACCTTTACACTATATCAGAATTAATGATCAACCTTTACACTATATCAGCATTAATGACCAACCTTTACACTATATCAGCATTAATGATCAACCTTTACACTATATCAGCATTAATGATCAACCTTTACACTATATCAGCATTAATGATCAACCTTTACACTATATCAGCATTAATGACCAACCTTTACACTATATCAGCATTAATGATCAACCTTTACACTATATCAGCATTAATGACCAACCTTTACACTATATCAGCATTAATGACCAACCTTTACACTATATCAGCATTAATGACCAACCTTTACACTATATCAGCATTAATGACCAACCTTTACACTATATCAGCATTAATGATCAACCTTTACACTATATCAGCATTAATGATCAACCTTCACACTATATCAGCATTAATGATCAATCTTTACACTATATCAGCATTAATGACCAACCTTTACACTATATCAGCATTAATGATCAACCTTTACACTATATCAGCATTAATGACCAACCTTTACACTATATCAGCATTAATGATCAACCTTTACACTATATCAGCATTAATGACCAACCTTTACACTATATCAGCATTAATGATCAACCTTTACACTATATCAGCATTAATGACCAACCTTTACACTATATCAGCATTAATGATCAACCTTTACACTATATCAGCATTAATGACCAACCTTTACACTATATCAGCATTAATGATCATTCTTTACACTATATCAGCATTAATGACCAACCTTTACATAGTATGTTAGCATTAATGATAAACTTTTATAGTATCTTACTGTTAGTGATCAAATCTTGAGACAGTTTTTATACTCAATTTTTCCATTATTTGTAACCTTCTTACTTTTGTTAATCTTATACTTATTGTAGGATCATTCTCTATTTTGAAGGAAAGAAAATCTCAACTTTAGGACGAGATTCTTTATGGGTTACCGCTGTGCCTCAGTTAAGGGGATAAGTTATAATTTCAAGAACATCCTCCACTGAATATTTCTCTTTCTTACCCAGCTAGGGAATTATTTATTTTCTGCCTCATTTCCACATAACCTGAACAACAGGAGACATTATCCTGTTATTTTAATATCATATACACATTATTTTATAAATCTAACATTAAAACTTTTCAGAGCCTAGTGTGATGACCAATGGAACTCAGAGAAACAATTTAGAACGGAACAGCAAGTATGCCACCATAGCAAGGACATCTCAAAGGGCCAGTTCAGATGACTTTATTCCTAATAATACTCCTGTTATCCCACGGTCCAGAACTGACCAGGGGCTAACCTCAGTAGAACGCCACATGATTTCAAACGTGACAAACCAAGCTCGCTCTCGTCAGCCAGTGATTGCTACAGAAACTTTTGCAGACAACATCAATCGTTATCAACCTCACAGGCACTTCCAGAAAGGATTTCAGTTTAGGGAACAGAAGCAGTTGTACCTCAAAGAGAAGATGTATTCACCTTGTCTGAAAGAGTCTTCAGTTTAGTATTTTCATGTTGCTGATGTTAGCATGTGAACGGCTGTCTCCTATCAGTTTGCTGATAGCTCATTTGATTCTGTTGTGTCTCTGGAGATCAGTTGAATTGATCACTATACATGTATAGTACATGAGTACATATGGTCGTAACTTTGAGAATGATATCAAACACTGTTGTTGGAGGGGAAACATATGAGAGGCTTTAGATGGTGTTTATAAATGATTTGACTATGTAATACTGTCTGAATGTGTATAATCAACTGGTTCCAGAGTCACAAAATCCCTTCCTAGACCATAGAACCATAGCAATTATTGGTATTATGGGAAAAACATGCCAACTTATCAGCAATAAAATGATGCTAATGATATTATCAGGTTGCAGACAATTTTGTTAGGTAATACTTACTAGGGGTATATCGTTGTGAATAGTTATAAGATGTAAAGGAAAAAATTAGCTAGTTATTCAAAGCTGATGATTTATTTTTCCTTTTAATCATATTGAAGAAATATAGAAAAGCATTTAATTTTTTTTTATTACATCAGAAAATACTAATATGAACATACCTAGAACTATTTAAGAATCATGTGTACTTGGGAAGGAATCAGTTTGTTATTGTATATGACCTGATAAATGGCAATATTGAAATACACTAAAGCTACCCTGGAGCGGCAGCATTGTAAAATAGAATTAGAATGTTTCCAGATTTATTTTAATTTAAGATTCAAATTTAAAAAGATATATGCATAATTTAACTATATAGTTCTTTTTTTTTTGTAAGATGGAGAATATGCAATATTATGCTTGAGACCCTCAATATCATATTTATAAAATCATGCTTTGATTATCACAGAGCAACCTTGACTCATAAGACAAGTATAAACATGGCTTCACAAAGCAGCATGCCTTCCAGTTATCAGGGCTTGCTGTCGATGATGGGCACTGTTTCTTAATTTTTATTAATGTTGGTACCTGGTATATCACTTACCTGTACAGATGGCATTACTGATGCTATGCCAGTAATTATAAGTGGTATTAATATACATTAATTCCCTTGTAATACCATATCCTAGACCTGATGACAAACAAGTATGAATTAACAGTGGTGATGATTTAATGAAGAGACATAAGGAGTGTATTAATCTATGTGCACTTTGCTTATTACAATCACCATTGCTTTACAGGTCAGAATTTTACAACAAGAATCCAAACTAACATATACACATACAAGGCTGATATTTTCAGACATATCAAAAGTTTCCATTTATCATATCAAGAAAATTCCATGTATTATCTTAGGAGTATTATTAAGAACAATTTGGATTTTAAAAATAAAGAAAAAGTCATACAAAGTAATCATATTCTAGATATATTTGTTCGGAACAAAAAGGGTACCATATATCATTATTTATTCATTTGAAATGTAATATGAACTTTTTTTGTCAAAACTATTGAATTTATACACTAAAATGAATGCACATGTGCCATAGGTTGAATCTCGGCTTAGATATTATATCATATGAAAGTTGAAGTGCTAGTCAGAGAATAAAAAATATTTTTTTATCACATTGTAAATACAGTTACATATAATTGTGTATAATGTAGTTGTAAATAGATCATAGCTTAGGTAAGAGTATATGTTGTGTAAAGCTGACTATTTGTAATTAAAAGTGTTCATAACTGTAAATAATACACAAAACTTTTTTCGCTCCCTGTTGACAAAATATGCTGTGCTTTTTATTTAAATCAGTTTTACATTTCTCAATGTTTAATTAATGAGTAATAAGAAGTAATAATAATGATGTGTGTTTGTTCATTTTGCTCTAATCCTAATTTGAAACGTTTTGTAAATGAAAATGTGTGTCATTATAATACAAGAAAGGTATATGTGATTTTACATGGTGTCACTGCTTGTCTAGAGTTACCTTGTGATAAGTTCTCATGTTTATGAAAATCTGTCCACCACCTCAGCTTGTCACTGAAAAGTGTTCTCTTTGTAAAAGATTGTTGATATTAAGTGCTTATCAGTGAGAAATATTGACTAAGAAAAGTGTGATTAAATGCTGAAAAGTTTGTCTATAGTGTTGATTGTCGTAGCCAAAGTTTTGTTGATAAAAATCTAGTTCTATAAGAAGAAGTGATTGGAAATTGTTCGTTCTTGAAATTTTCTCAGTGGAATTTATTATTTCCAAAAATTTAATAATGTGATTTATAATTGTTTTTGTAATGCATTGTATGACTAAATGAATACTGGAAAGTAGATACAGAGGTTGGTCACTAGAGAGTGTTGTATGAAATGATTCCATCCATGTCCCTATTGAGCTGTTTTTATCTCACATTCCATGACATCTACTGTAAACCTCTGTGTTTTGTCCAGTTTTGGAGTTGATGCTGTTACGATTGTATTTTGTGAGATAAAGGGGAGATGATCTACAGTAATATCTCCCTCTTGATGAAATGTTTTCTCTTTCTTACATTCCCTTGTCCTCACAATTTATTTTTTTCAACATTCCAAAGTTTATTTCAAATAAATTATTTTACATCAAAGTTCTCTTAGTTTGTAAGGGCTTAGTTAAGTTTATTAAGTTTTTATGAGATTTAAAAAAAAAAACAAAAAAACTTGATGACTGTAAAAATTTTGATTACTAAAAACATAATTGTATTAACTGTTTTATACTGCACATTCTAAGTATCAAGCAACACACGGCAGGCTGTTATGGTATGGAAAATCTTGTTTTGTTTTGGTTCACATAAGCTGAAAGTCGTTAAGTATTGCAATATCAAAGACTAAATTTGAATCAGAATTGGGCTGTTCTCAGTTTCATTATGTGTATGAAATTCAACCATCTGACAATGATGGCTCAAGGCAGTCCTACTTCTAAACATTCATCCCCAGTTTACTATTGGTTACCATGTTTTTGGAGGTAATAGTTTTCACCACTTTTAAATCAAACTTTTATCTTGTAGTTTCACTTATATCTTGAAATAAAATGTAAACAGCAGGCTCCTACTGTAATCACTAATTTTTTTGCTATGTTTTGAACATCACATTATGGAAATAATTACTATCTTCAGTTGACTTTCATATTTTTAGTGGCATTCCCAATAGTTTAAACCTGGGTTCCAATTTTGAGTATGATCAATTATCTTCTATTGGTAAGTGTTTGTATATGTAAACTACTGGGTAACTACTACCATCATACTCCTATGCAATCAACAATTCAACTTAAGTATACTATTATTGTAGATAATAAGCCTTTCCTCTGTACATCCAATACAATATCTATGATAATCCATCCACTTTACAATACTGTTATAACTTTAACATTCAGATGTTTCTTGTTGAATTTTGTAACTCTTTTCCATGTTGCTACAAATGATAAAATCAGAAAAAGGTGTATATTGTTAGACTTGAGGTACCTTCAAGATCATTGTAAGCTACTTGTAACAGAGGTCATTATCAATTTCATTGCCTCTGCTAGGGATCCAACCTCGGACCTCTGGCTTACTAGCCTTCCGCTCAATTTAATGGGCTAAAGACAATTTTAGGTATTTTGTAGGTCTGAAATAAGTAAACTTTATTTATTTTGCAACAGGAACAAGTTTTTCCAACTTATATTAATCACTCTTGTTGGCCTGGATGGAAGCACTAGGGGAGGAAACTGGAGCACACCAGAAAAACCCATGTATTCGGGCAGGTGACCCCAAACCTTTTCACATCCATTCCTGGAATCAAACCCCTGACAGCTAGGTGGAAGGCATGTGTATTACCACTGTGCCATTGGGTCCTGTGTCTAGTATTAGCTAGGGTTATAATGTCCCCTCCAGGAAAGTGCAATTCCCCAAGTTTTTAGGAGTTATAGTGTCGTATGTGAAAGTAACAAAAAAAAATATCACTCCCTAGTTTCTATTTGGGTGAAGTGATACAGAGGTTATACAAGTACCTCCAATAGGGATCAAACCAGCAATCTCTGGCTAAAAAGGAGTTGTCTCTAGCTGTATGTTGTGGCTAATAATGCTTAGGATTACACACTTATGTTAGTAAAAGTGTGTGTTTCACAGCAGTCCTGGTAAAAGATTACAGCAAAGATGGTGTAAATATTCTGTCTAGTGTGATGGTAACATGGTGTTAAGTCTGTAAACATTATCATGTTGTTGTTTCTCCACCTACATAGATGTTGATAGTGACTGGAGGTCTACTAGTGAGTAGGACTTTGTCCCCAGTAGGTTCTTATAAAAATTGAGAATATTTCGATATCTTTGAATGTGAAGTCAAGACAGGATTTGCACTTTTGAAATGTTTATGATCCACTAGTAAATGCTGTATTTAAGATGGCCACTTTTTCCACCATATTGAAAAGCTTGTTATCACTTATTCACATGTTCTCAGATCATCCTAAATTCAATTTTGACTTATGTAGCTTTCAATTTGGTCACCTTCACTGCTATCAAAGAGCTATGTTTTCTCTACTTCTTCTTCTTCTAAAAGTAATTTTTTAAAATGAGTTAAAGATCTGCCACTAAGTGTCTTAACTGTAATTTGGACCTTTTATCATATTCAAGAATGATACCATTTCTGCCATGTGGAAATCTTGTCATCTCTAATCCTTTCAACAGGGAGTTGTATTAAACCAGATTTACCAGTGAAATATTACAAAAACAATGACACCAGGAGTTCCATCACGTTATACTCAGAAAACATGTATTATTGTGGGTAAAATCAGGATTTTCTTATATCTCTAATGGAAACTGCAGTTTATTCTTTCCTAGCATTGCTGCACACTTCTATGTAACATATATTACTGTACATACAAGCGTGTAAAAGTACATGTGTTAAACATACTACGTGTAAAATGCAAAAAACATACATGTGTAAAATGCACATTTGTATATGTAAAAGGCACATGTTTGAAAAATACATGTGTATGTATAAAAGGTACATGGGTAAAACACATGTAAAACATGCATGTATGTTTCCAGTATATACTGCTTTTCTCTGCTAGTAGCTGCT